GGAGTGTCGTTGGGTGTACAGTCAGCAGCCGTCCCTTTGGTGGCGTCACCGCGGAACCCAGGCCGACAGTTCTCACACTTCTCTCCCTCTGTGTTGTGGCCGCAGTTCTAGAAGTTCGTATAAACGTTAAAGGCATCCTATTAATAATGCACTGTCAGGACGGCAAAACAAACTGTCTGATATTGACATTTACCGTCAATTTATATCGCATTTTTACCTTCGCCCAGACGGTTAGGTTTTCAGAGGCGTTCGTGTGTGTCTGTGTGTCCGGAAACACGATAACTTAAGAAGGCTTTAATGGATTGACTTGATATTTGGCTTGCTCTGGAACTGCAGGGCTATATGTTTGAAACTATTCAAAAGAGGATAACTTAAGAACCGGTTGACGGATCGTCATTATTTTTGGTATGTAGGTAGCTTACGTGATGCTTGATATAATCATATGACAATTATGCAAATATGACAGTAATTTTCACAATTTATGGGGAAATTCTACAAATCAGCTACATTCCATGATAGGACGATTGAAGCTTGTGACATCGGTAATTGAGAACGAGAGAAACACAGGCAGATATTGATTATGTAAATGAAGACTTAATTTGCATAATTAATGAGAAAAAATTTTATAATCATGTAATGATAACTGCCTGGAATTTTATACTTGTGGTATTTGAAAGTTAAGTGAAGGTGAACATCATTAAACATAATGTATTTAAATCAGGACCTCATTTGCATAATTTATGGGGAAAAGCTAGAATGGCACTGTTTGTTGATGTAAGACTGCCTTTTGGTTGAGAATATGATAAAATGATATAATTCATGAAAACGAGGTTCCTATTTGTTGAATCAGTGGGAATAATCTATAATTTGTCAGTCATAAAGATTAACATCATTTGGCGAAGGTTGAGATCGGTGAACTCTAGTGTGTTATAATTTCATACTTTAAGCGTTTGAAATAGCCCCAAAACAAGCTACATAAAGAGTCTCTTTATTTTTTGGTACCTACAATAATTAGCTGGGATAAGAAACAAAGGAAAAAAAGATAATCGAGAAGGTAACATAAAACAACTGATTCTGTTAATTCATGTATATAGGAAAACACCTCGTCACACACCTCGCACTTCCCTGTGATGTCACACGTGGTGGAGTGACCGTTACAGTCGCACGGTTTGCAGTCCTCCGCCGTCCCCACCTTCGCGTTGCCATAGAAACCAGGCTTACACTTGTCACAGTTCTGACCCTGTGTGTTGTGTTGGCAGGTCTGGGACGAAAAGGAGGTTTCGCACTAGTTAGATAACTACGATGTCATTTCAACACAACAAAGTCGTTTCTTTGTCACTCTGACACAAAACAGGTAAATGTAAGGCACACTGTGGGTAGGGTACAAGTAGCAATATGCGTCAAGAGGAGTTTGTGTTTTGAGGAGTTTTGCGTTTGCCCCATCAAAAGTAGATGTGATGCGCTCGGATGGCTGATATTGTATCCAGAACCGTGCCTATCTAGTTCTATACATATACTTGAATGGGTTAAAGTTTAATAGGTTCAGGCACTGTTCTGGATAGTCTCCACGTATCCAGGAACATAGATTTGCCCAAGGCACGGTTCTGGATACGCGCCGACTAAAAAGCGCGGTTCTGGACACGTATAACAGCTGCGGCACAGAGGCGGATTTCTACTAAGTACTGCACACGTATCGTTACGTGACCAATGATAGTCTGATATCATGGAATTTACTAATGCAATTGATCTGGAATGTATGCAACTTACCATACATGACTTTGTAACAGCGTTGTAGCTCAATGAATGACCATGGCACAGGATCTTCACTGTAAAGATATTGTCAAGATTTTATTTATCTAAAAATGGATGATACATTGAGTATACACTTTGTTCGTTAATAGCTACAAATAATTTCCTTTTGACCCATGCCATTGTGTTATCAATCTCCCCCACCCACGTGCTGTCAACCTATTCGATTTGTCCGAACAAACATACACACAAACCCACAGCTTAGCTACCAGCCACCGGAAACAATACTTTTGTACCCGGAACTAACAATCTATCTATCTCTAATCAAGATTTCAAAGAACTAAGAACGCCAGAAAAGGGAAAAGATGTTGAGACCCACCGCATCCCGCCTCGTCTGACTGGTCCGGACAGTCCGGAGAGTCGTTACACCGGAGGTCACCGGAAATACACTCTCCCGACGTGCACTGGAACTCTCCCGGCTGGCACTTCGACACTGACAACAGTAAAAGGGAAGGTCAACGTGAAACAAGGAAAGGAAGACCTCAGACCTCCGTGAACTGATATCAGTAAATAAATTCATTAAGTTGGTGAATGATAGAATGTGGAAATTCTTTATTCACAACCACGGCCATTCTGGATACAACAATGACCATCAGATGTACCGCTAAAATATCCTACATGGCTTTAGTATCCTATGTGCTACTACACTGAAACTTTCCTTGACCAGGTGTGCAGCACACCTTTTGACATTACATTGTTAGAGTCTACCAGAGTCTACCAATATACAACGTCACGTGACATCTGACTATTGTAACCTGCATGTACTTTGACCGGATTACATGTAGCAGATGGTGTTTATCGTCATGAATGCCCTTTGATCAAAGAACAAAACCTCTTGCCGCCGGTAACACGGAGTACATGCTGGTTTAACACTGAACCGCAGGGCGGACTGTTTAGCCTCTCAGCAGGCTTTACCACTGTGGCTGTTTGGAGGGTGGGATGGTTATGGTAAACTTTTATAATGCTTTTATTCCTTATTGCATGTCAATTCTGGTATGTATTCGGGTATGACACGGGTCATGGTATATCACTTTTATTCCTAGTACAAATAGACTGATATTCTGTAAGGAAAAAACAAATGCAAACGTCCAAAAATCATTAGCCGAAAAGCCTGATAAGGAGTCTTGCGTGTGGCTCAGAAGACTTAGATAACTTATAACAGAGCTGGGGGTGATTTGCTATGTACCAAAAGCGTATTCCAATCTTTTCTAACACAACGAAACGAGAACAAAAGATTTTTTTCTCAGAGATAAAACGTAATCTGAAGCACGTGTCAGATGCAGTCCGTTTGTAGTCGTCATGTCCCCTCGTCTGCAGCATAAATTTGTCCCAGCACAAAGTTTGTCGGAGGACTTTGAGATAACGCCAGTGTTGGTGCCGTGTTTGTTAAAAAGCTAACGTCCTATTGAGAACATATTCAGAACTTTGCCTATCTATGATAAACGCGTTCTTCCTCTTTCTTTTCACCTCGATTTTGGGCGTGATAAGCGGTTTTGTTTAGATAGCTCACTTCAACACGACCTGGACCAACCCTCGCGTCCTTCACACCAAAAGTTCTGAAGCCTGAAGGACTGGCTAACGGAAACTGCACATTGCGCTCATATGCTTTGTGATGACAGTTATAACAGTTATTCATTGTTATGTGTTTGTCACGTAGCCCATGTAAGTTTTTAAAAAATGGGGCAAATCTCTTTACTTTGTATGAGCCCGCATTTTCTCCGCGATCCGCGTTATCGTCAAACCGAAAGAAGGTTAAAGTAGTTAGTGTTGATGAACTTAATTATCGGCTAGTTGGAAGCAATGGATAGAATTAGCCACCACCATACATTCTGAACAAACAAACCTACCTGGACAGTTGTCTTCGTCGGAGAAGTCCAGACATTCAAAGATGCCGTTACACCTCCTGGACATGTCTATACAATACCCGCTCTTACACTCGAACTCTTTCTCCAGATCGCATCCCTGAGAAGATACTTGCACGGCCAGGCAGGCCAGAACCACGAACCAGAACATCGCCATCCTGTCTCTGTGCGGGACTCCGGAGCGTTTGACCCAGTTAATTAACAGACGGTAATAATTAAAACGTGGAAGAGTTTGAAGTGGTCAGCGCTGTTAGATAACCAAGGGTTGTTATCTTGATAAGATATTGCAAGAGGTGGCGAATCGTAACGGCCCATGTGTCCTGGCCGGAGTCGGGGTCCCTGGGGTCAGGCCTGTTCTGACTTCTTTAATCTCACCGTTGTCAAATTTTAATCATGGATTTGCGCCATTCATTTTGATTAAGTCCCTGTTTGTATTATTAAACCCCTGTTAACAAGCATCTTTTTTCATTTGGAAGACGTTGACTCTTTAGGCCCAGGAAGAAAATGCTGTGTTTCGCAGTTTTCCGAACAACCCTAGCAAAAATCCAACAACCCTAGGTTCCAATTTTTTGTGGGGGCGGGGGATCGGTCCCGGGTAATGCCATAATTAACATTTCCAATCCGACATCTGAATTTTAAACCCTCTAAAACGTTATTTCGTTCAGTTTTCAGAATCAAATTTTCATTGAGTTAATCGGGTGGAATACTTGCCCCTTCAAACCGGAGGTACGGGTCCTGAAGACAGCTCTGGTCCTGATACATGTTTTACATTGTTAAACTATATCTTTTTGGATCACTTCAGTCGAAATCTAAAAAAACTACCTAAAAATAATGACCTAATTTTCTTCAGGACTGAAATCGGAAACACGGCCTTTTCATGGGCCTTACCACTTGACTTGATCGGTCTAGTCAGGTCAAGGACGTAAAATGTCGGGCGAAGCAGAATTCGACTACTGTTCCAATCATATTCTTGGCGTACCAAAGAACGAGTCCTTACTTTTCTTTCAAAAATGAAAATTTACACAATTCTTGTATTGACAGAAAAATGCATAGCGACTTTCGCTAAGTCTTCGATAACTAAATCTACAAACAAACATGTGGATACATACAAGTATATGCATAAATCGATATGTTGACTAGTGGTTCTAAGGATGTCTAAACATTTTATTAATACTTTCCTAGGCCTGGAAGAATCTTTTTATTTTCGTTAGTAAGATCCTAATGTCCAGTTACAACCGAAGTGGTGTATACGGGCGGCACGGTACTTTGGACCCATGTGGACAATGGAAGTGTTTGTCGTGTCACATTGAATAGTGATACTTTGACCCGCCGGTCTCAGTGGGACCTCGGCTGCTGATTGGTCACTGATTGGAGGCGCCGCAGCCGTCCCTGTAAAATGTACGACTCAGCCCGTTTCAGTCTAGTTTTGTGAGATGTCCTGCCATGATCTGAAACTGTTCCGCTCTTCTGTGGTTATCAGCGTGTTTACCAGACAAAGTTAAAGTAATACCAGTCTTCTGGTTGCAAAATGTAGGAAGAGTTTACAATCCGACCTGCAGATTGCCAAAAAATTCCTGCACACATTTAATTATAGGAGCTCTGGGTTGACAGTATCTGGCTGCCGTTATAGCATCAGTCAATCTATCCCATTCGCCTGCTTATATTTTTTTCAATGGAGCATTTTGCAAGAGTGAACACCATGACTTGTGCAGAACCCCTCCCCCTGTTCCGTAAGAAGGTCTTACAAACAACAGGATGGTCAGATAAGGAGATAAACAATCAAGGTGTCTGCTGACGCCAAGACATTGTTCTGTAGTAGCTTGAGATTCATTCCGCTTACTATTGAATTCTTTCCAACAGTCGCTAGTCACATGGGCTGCAATAAGGCCCAGCAACCATGGGTTTATCCTCTACCAGGCTTCAATGGTGATTGGAAAGAATAGAAATTGTGCAAAAAATGATAAACGTGTCAGGGGATCTGGTCCGATAAAGGAGTACAGGATAAGGGAGAAATGCCAGAGCGTCAAACTGTACTCCTTCATTGGTCGTGGACGAACTCCACTGGCATGTCATCTGTATATTTATCCAATTTCTGCTCTTCAAGCCTCTTCAAAAGCCTGGTAGAGGCTATTTTTAAAGGTTTAAGGTCCATCCTATGAAACGTAGAACATGTTTTTAAAGACCTTCACTAAAGATTTGTGTGGAACAAACAGAGTTGGTACACAGATTTATTCACTAAGTTGCCCTTTATCGGGAGGGGCAGTTTGATAAGTGCTTATCAGTTGTTTACTCTGTTTATCACTCCACGGTGCAAACTTTACACACTGAATAAATATAACATAAGATTAAGGCATGGGCCTACATGGGATTCACATAGAGGCACTCCTTTCAGAACATGTTTTTTACGGAATCGATACGTACAGCAGCCCATACTACATGTATATTTGGTATCTTGTGCATAAATATCTCATATGACCATATGATGGGAAACGAATATGCAAAAAAATTCTTATTCTTTAATTGTAATTTATGTGACTCTATGCATATTTATACATAGGAATAGCAAGAGCTGAGCAACGGCTCTCAGTAACAAGGATATAATATACTCATGAGGGCAATGTAATCCGGTCTAGAACTTTTTACTTTTCGAACTTTTCGGTGGAGGTATGAGATTGTCCCCATTGTTAAAAAATCACAAACGTTGGTTTCCATTTAAGATGGTTTGTCTTTAAGATTAGGAATAGAACAGTAATTAATTAACATTCTTTAAACGCTGATCAGTTTGCCCACAGCTAAGCGTGTACCAGGCGTCCTTGTAGCCCATATGGACACGTGTTTTCAGTACACAATACTGCGTGAGCACTCATTTCAATCGACACGTTTGGAGACCGCATAACATCGTGATTATCGGCTGCCTATTTGTTTTTGACAACAGTCAAAGTTCAGGGAGACACAGGAACAAGGGACCGTCAATGAAAGAATTAAAACATGTCGGCAATAAATATATTCAAATTAACCTCGCTGAGGAGACAGTCACATCAATACAAAAATGGTAAAGCATTGGATTAAATCTGTAGTGTTAATGATAGTATTGTCACTGGAATTAGCAATTCTATTATCAGGAAGTCTATACATACAGTTCTAATACAGCGCGATCGCAAGTATCAACTACGTTGGCTTAACAGAACATTATTATGATATACAAGGCTAGACATTGCTGAGCATAACATCAGTATCTTTATATGATATTACAATTTCTCCCTCTCGCTGAATTTCTTTTTTTTTTGTCCACAGAACCGGGGATCAAGTCGTCTACCTGGCAGTACCGTCATTCCCCACTGTGTGTGTCCGCACATCACTTGTACTGCAGGAAAACATCGAAATGTTGTTACTACTCATTAGTTACCGCTACCAAATTGTCGTTTTGGGTTACAGAGTCGTGAGTTTGTTGGTCTGTTCGGACATAGTAGGTTGACAGCACGTGGGTGGGCGGGTGTTGAATGACAGTTCATAAGGTCAGACGCAGGAAATGGGGTGAGCCTAAGATGAAGTTGACAGAAGGTGGGAGGGGAAAGATCGACAGGCAGAATAACAGGAGGTCAAAAAGTCAAACACAGAACTTGAAGGTCATGAAAACCCAACATGCTTTCCGGAAGTATGAAAATCTCTGGTTTCGTGTACACTTTAAAATCGTTATCGTGAGGACTAAGTGATAATCTTTACTGTACCTGTCGGACACATCTCTGTCCCTCCTCTCGCGGGTTGCCCCAGTAACCGTTTGCACACGTCCCGCAATCCCGGCCCAAATACCCCGGATGACACCGTGTGCATGTAGGCAGACCATCTATGTCCAGTGTACATGTGTCAGAAAACCTATGGAGCAGAAAAGTCTCATTAAGAAAGTATCTAACATCACTTAAACTATCATTGCCCATCCGTGCATTATTTGTCACGGCTTGCATGGCCGATCGATACACATGTAAATAGACTGCAATTTACATATATAACGTACACACATTTTACGAATATGTAGGATGGCAAAACTTCAATACAAGGTTGCTCTTGCGAATATAATAACCGATCAGTAAACAGGAGGAACTGGCTATAAGGTAACTACTCACTGGTTGGACGGGGTCGTCAGAGGACATGGACATGGGTGACAGTCGGAGGGCGTGCCTCTGGTGGGGTCGCCATAGTAACCCAGGACGCACTTCTCGCACTGGTTTCCCATCGTGTTGTGGCGACAGTTCTGAAGGAAACAACGCCAACACTGGTACTGAGACGTGTTCATTTCGCAGCGCTGTATATAATATCTTTACCGGTTATGTGCGTGGGCCCAGTCATTAATGTCTATTATGTTCCTGGCCTTTTCTTCCATTTTTCTTTGGGTGGGCCTATGGACAGGTTTAATACATAACAACGCTTCAGAGCGGTGTTGTATTCAGAACCGTACTTTAGTCAGAACCATAGTCATGCATGGCTCTGGATAGTCCACGCGTTTTCAGAACCGTGTTGTGACAAGTCTACTATGTACGAGTATACGTGGAGACTAGCCAGAACCGTGCCTGATCCTAATCATGACCGATTGAGACATAGAACTAGATAGTAGCACATGTACACGCCGTACCAGACACCTGCCGAAGACGTCGCAGAAGTCGGCGTGGCCGTGGCAGGTGCAGTCGGGGTGCGCCAGCTGACAGTCCGCCGCCGTGCCCTTCCGGGCGTCCCCTATGTACCCCGCCTGGCACCGGTCACAGTACTTCCCCTCCGTCTGGTGCAGGCAGTCCTACAGACAGACACAGATGACAAATACTGTCAGCCTGGATGGCAGACTGTTGGTTCGTCATTGATGAAAGCAAATGCAGAGCCTGAAATACGGAGATGTGGATGTTGATGACTGTCATCATAGGACCAAACAATGTTGTTCTTGTACTCCCGACCTTGAAGTGTCATCTTACCAAACACCGTCCTGACTCATCGCACTTGTTGCTGTGTCCGTGACAGTAACAGTGCGGGCGGACGGTTGGCGCTGGGGTGGTGGCAGGGGAGGCGGTGGTACCGGGGGACGCTCCCTCGGAGTACAGCGGGATCCTCTGGCAGTCATGCGGGGTCCCGTACAGAGCGGTTCCCCTGAAACCGGGCTTGCACCGGTCGCAGTAGAAACCTTCCGTGTTGTGCTGACAATCCTGTGGATTAAGGCCAGAGAGAGAGGGACGTTTACCAACGTTAAGTTTAGACAAAAAATAGATGCTGAAATAATATGCTAATTTTTTTTACATCATTCGTACTGTTGTCTTCTAAAATAAAAAGCGGTCTAGTATATACACGTATACGGATTTTAATCAGTATACATGTATATACGGACGTAATTGTAACGCCAATTAAAGAATTTTGGATTAAGCGATTTCTGGCATCGAATCACCTACCAAGCACTTGAAAGTTCTCGGGTCACATTTCGTGGCGTGGTTGAAACATCTGCACCGCTCTCCCACTATGTACGGCTGCTCTTCCTGCTGACCTGGAGCTGTCTGACCTTCACCTGCCTGACCTTGGTCTGTACCGCCGTGACCGGGCTGAACCTGGCCTGTTTGACCAGGTTGATGTTGACCTGTTTGGCCTTCAACAGGTCCATTTTGGTCAGTTTGACCTGGACCATGCGGACCCGGGGATGTTTGACCTTGTCCCGTTTGCCCTTGACCTTGGTTGAGGGGTCTGCAGTCGTCCGGAGTACCTCGCCTTGGATCCCCGTAGTATCCCTCCGCGCACTGATCGCACCTGGAACCAGCGGTGTTGTGCTGGCAGTTCTGGAATGAAGGAAAGTAATATACTAGTATATCACTCCTTGTGAATTTCCTGTGGTTTTCCAAAACAAGCGACTGAAAGGTTGGAGTATCGTTAATGTCTTGTTAAACTGTCCAATGAGGAAATAGTCAATAGGACAATCTGTTATTAGCTGAAGAAAACACAGACGAACACACAAACTAGCAGACATACCCAAAACAACCCCCCCGGACACGGAAGTCTAAAAACGCAATAGACTAGAATAGTGAAGACAGTGGTCGTTTTATTCCATCTATGTACCGACCAGACAGTTCCCAGCGGCGTCGCAGTGTCCGGAGTGTCCGTAGCAGTGGCAGACGTGGATGACCGGCGTGCAGGCGTGGGGTGTGCCCAGGGTGGCGTCCCCGGTGTACCCCGGGATACATGTCTCACACCGCTGACCCATCGTGTGATGCTGGCAGTTCTGAGGGAGACAGAAAACAGTCAAATGGTTTTTGTCAGTCCAATAATAAAGAAAAAAAAACAAAACAAATTTCTGTAATTAACTACATTTGTGCACTACGAAGCTTTTTGCTCCTTTTCGCTTCTTTTCGCTCCTTTTCAGAACTCTGTACACTTAAAAAATATAGATGTTGGGGGTGTAAGTCAGGTTTTTAGCAGATGGAGAACTCAAACTTAGATTTACCAAGCAGTGTCCACTCCTGGGGTCCACAGTGTTGGAGTGACCGTTACAGCGTCCTTCCGCTGTGGCCGTGACTGGGGCCTCACGGGTCGGCTCGGGGGGGTTGACTGGCCATGGGTGATCTGGGAGAAGGAAAAAGATATAACTTCTTAACAGCTGCGGTTTTCGGGATTTTGACCAATCCTTAATCTTTGAGATCAAGTAATTTTGGTTTGGTCTGATTTTATTTGATTTGGTGTCATACCACCTCTTTGAACATGAATATTGTGTCACATTTGTTTAACATAATGTGCGAATTATTCAATAAATTAATTTAATTTATTGTACATGTACGGCTCGGTCATATTCGTCGTAGGCCGTCAACTTTGATGTCTTATAATTTGTGTGTGTGTGTGTGTGTGTGCGTGCGTGTGAGTGTGTGCGTGCGTGCGTGCGTGTGTGTGTGTGTGTGTGCGTGCGTGCGTGCGTGTGGGTGCGTGTGTGTGTGCGTGTGCGTGCGTGTGTGCGTGCGTGCGTGTGTGCGTGTGTGCGTGCGTGCGCGCGCGTGCGTGTGTGTGTGTGTGTTTATGTGTGTGCGTGTGTTTGTGCGTGTGTGGGGGGGGGGGTGTAAGCAAAACAGAAGACCGAACTTACAGCATCCTGACTCGTCCGTGCCGTCCTCACAGTCAGCCACATTGTCGCACCGGTACGACACAGGCACGCATGCGCCGCTCCCGCACCGCAGCTGGTTCTGAAGGCAACCTGTGGGTCCTGCGAGGGTGAGGAAAGATTGGCTGTTTTCTTCTTTCTATTTTCCCTTAGCAACACTGTTCACGTATACACGCACAGACATACACGTACACACACATCTCGTACACACGAATACACGCACATGCACACATACACACACACACACACACACACACACACACACACACACACACACACACATAGATATATACATACATGCTGACCACAAACACACGCACTTGAGTCTTCGTTTCGGTCGCGACTCACCAGGCTGGCAGTCGTGCTCGTCTGAGCCGTCCCTACAGTCGGCCTCCCCGTCACACCTGTAGCCTTGGTACAGGCACTGCGTCAGGTCCCGGCACGAGAACTGGTGCGCGGCGCAGCGCGAGGCTAGGGAGATGAAGCCAATCGGCAAATTATGGACACTGTTGATGTCGTTACGCAAAACAGCAGCCTGCATTTTTTTTCAAAACAACCAATTTACCTTGTTTGAGGTTTGACATTATAGTTACTACCAACAGGGGGCGCTTGTGAACAAGAGAAAATTTGTAGAAGACACATTGCTGTTTCAAAGTTACGTCATAACAAAACCACACTGTAAATCGTTCAACGTCTGACAATGAAGTGCAGAGTACTTACAGGTTTGGGTGTTGCCATTTCCAGGCGTACCTGAAAAAATACAAGAAATTAAAGATTTCAGACTTCCGGGAAGTTTCTTTTTGACTTGTTAGCCCCATTTCCTGTCTCTGACCTTTTGACCTCCTGTCTTTCTGCCTGTCAACCTTATCTCATTCACATGCTATTACCCTACCCTGTCTGAGCAACCACACAAACCCGCAGGTCGGCCACCCAAAACAATACTTCCGTTCCCAGAGGTGATGAGGAAATTCCCCTATAATAAATAGGTAGGTGTTATAAGAAAATTATTTCTATTGACATTAGTGTATATGTGGAGAATTAGCGTATATGTGCATGTGGACACATTAAACCACTTTTCCGGTGTATCAAAATAACTTGTCGTGCATCGAAGTGGCCTGTGGAAACTGTCAATGTAGCGAAACGACCGGGTACTGTAGGTTTGTAACGACATGTACGTATACAATGGCGGCATCGACCTTCACAGAGACGAGTACATGTATACCTTGCAGCTGTGGACTGCGAAGCGTTTGGACTGTTATTTCGGTCTCTTTTCATTCCAACTCATTGTATTTTAGTCCCAACGCTTCCTCCGGGGATGCATGTTTAAGATAAGGCAGCTATTTCTGTGGTGGAATTTAAATAGTACGTACAGTAATTGATCTAATGATGTTTGTCAACATGATACTTTCCTAAGTTGAATAGGTTCATGCCAACCTTCGGTCATGTTCATCATAAAACATGACTGCACGATGTCTCAGCTTATTTCGTGTAAATTTGTAGACCTTGTCTTTAGTGCTCCTATATGATTTAGCTACGAATTCGATGTAAACCCACGTTTTATTTGATGTAGTTGCAATACAAACGATACACCGTACACCTTTTTTTCTCAACACGGTTTGATTAATCTCAGTAAAACTCACGTGCTTGCGACTTTGTGTAAAACTTGACAGCTACGACCATATGTTGTATTGGAGTTCTTTTCAAATGTCAGCAAAATATGGAGCCGAGCTCTGGCCTGTTTCGGATTAAGATGCCAGGACGCGCCGAGTGAAGACGCAAGTCTAGACCGCGTTATGTGAATGCAACAGGCAGAGAAGTCCTATTAGTAAAACGCTGACACCTGATTGGATCATTTACCACAGACACAGAGAGATGCGCCACTCACCGTGACAGTTGAGTTCATCCGAGTTGTCCCCGCACTCCGACACGCCGTTACACACCACTCTCCTGGACACGCACACGTCGTTAGCGCACAGGAACTCATGGCACGGGCGGCCCGGGAAGTACACTCCCTGCCCCGGGACATCATCCTGCGCCCGTCCCCGGTCCACTAAACACAGGAAAACCACGGGCAAAAGGAGAAATGTCCTCTGGAACATCGTGAAAAAAATTCTTCACCGCTTCCAAGACTGGCGGCGATGTACAGGGTTCTCAAACCACGGGAGCCTGCTGGTTGTTGACGTTCGCGGTGTGTTTTCCCGGCTTGCAGCGTTTGTGGCGGTCGGAGATGGAAGGTTTGACATTCCCTTTCACCGGGGCACCTTGTACTAACGCGACACTCCGGTATTTCCGATGGGACTCAGCGAGATGTTTTAGCTATGTGGAGATTTGTGACAGGCGATCTTGAGACCTTACAGCTTTACCGTAATTTTAAGGCGCCTATAGGTGTGTCATATATACATGTAAGGGGATACAGCGACTTGACTTGAATACAAATCCTTGTAGACTTAGATGATGGTCTTAGATCTTGATTTCTTTCATTGTATTAAAAAACACCTAATAAAAGTTATCAGATAAAGCCATAGCTCATACCCGTATATACATCACAAACATACTTTAAAACAACACATTCCAGAAGCTACTCTGTGATATTTTACAGCTGGACTTCGCAGCTGTTTGCCAGAAGAAGCTGAACTGGGGTGAACGTCGGGTTGGAATCTTTAAAACCAAAGATAGAAAGAACAGTCTGTAAACAAAGTAAGGCCCTAGGCAAGTACTAGTTGTCGACGACGTGCATTAGGGTCAATTGGAGTGAACAAGAGCAGCAGCCGCATTCAGGAACAAGAAGCAAAAACGAGGGTCCAGAACTCTGAAGCAGACTCTGATGTTGACGTTGGAAGTGCGATTGTAAAATGTGTTTACTGGTAGCTTGTTATTAAGATTGAAGAAAAAAATATAACAGCGACCATTCTTTCTGTAACAGCTTTCTTCTGTGAGCACACACTGTGTAACCGTAATTGACTTCCGAATGTTGACATGTTCTTAATTGATCTGTACTATTACAACTTAGCTGCGTCTATTCTGATTAACAACAGAGATTCTTGACCAACAAAGGGCTGTTTCAATGTCACTGTGGCAGATTCAGCAGACGTTTTTCGTTCCTCCACCACCTTGCCTCAAAACAACAATAACAATTCTCCTTTACGGTTTTTAAAGGCCAAATTCAGTCAGAGCGTTTTCGTCACTCACTGAGTCCTAATAATCCACCGAGCCGATAGGAAAGGTTATTGGCGACAAAACTACTTTCTGTGCTGAGTTACAGATTTTTTCGTGTTAACACATTCCTCTGGTAAGTAATACGCCTGTCTAAATAAATTGTCCTCCAGAGTATTGTGACTTCATCATGTTTATCTGCTAATCACTACATCATTCGATTCAATATGAACTTGAACTTGAACATTTGGGTCACATAAATGGCGTAACTTATATGCAAATATTTTACACCATAATATAGCGATAGTACGATCTCTTAGAAGCAGGGAAGAAATAAACCTGGGTGATTTCTTGAACAGGTATTTTTTTAACAATACGTATGTTTTTCGCCGTTCTCTTGTGAATTTGTCCTATACGTGACATAGGTTTCCCTTCTTAATTGTTCACAGATGAAGTGCCAGCTGCCTCCGACCGACGGATCAGCCTGTTACGACCATCAATCACCACGAAACTTTCTGTGCCCTTGACCATGTATTTTGTTCCTGTGCGTGCTGTAACGTGAAACATGCCTTCCTTATGCCTAATTGTTCCCAGACGCGATGAAAGCAGCCTTGTGGCGGCTCAGACTGATTATCAATAACCACAAAACCCGCGGCTAACGAGCTCGGCTGTTGCGCCAAAGAGCTGTAGGAATGTCGGAAACATTGTTCACGAGATTCCACAAAACTCTCTACAAGACTTCGCCCGGCCATGTGTTTCAGTTCGGCCAACAAAAGTTGGATAGCAGCAGAATAGTCACATCGATCACACTTGGAGGGTTTTACCCCTGTATGCATTCTCGTATGCTTCGAAAATGTAGTTTTAGCCACTGTAGACTTATGATACCGGTAAAACGCCTTGTATGGCCAGCGCGAGGAACACACCTCTCACACGAGGAAAACGGAATGGAACTGATAGATCAGTTCGATATCTATGTCTCTAGTACAGATATATATATTTTTTCATTCATGGAAACTAGGCCCCGGGTTGGGAATTGTGAAAAAAAAGACACGTCAGATATGTTTAGTCTGTACAGCTTTAATCTTCATCATGATTCATTAAAGGTACAGTTGCCTGTCCGTCTCAAAACCATGCTTAATGTGACAGTAAAACTATGTAAGACTAAGTATGATAGACACATTTCAATGTTCCGTGTGTAAACTACCCTGACAACGAGAGCAACAAATGAGATGGCAAAATGCAAACATTGGCAGCCAAATATGTTTAGGTAACTAGTTACTAGTATTCATACTATACAGAAACTATACACAAAAATGTTGCAATTCATGATCATAGCTAACTACTTTGTATGATTCGTTCAAAGCTAACGAACTGTTCAACCTGTCTAGAATATATCAAAATAATAGTTTTACAGTTATTACCCTGCAAAACATCAGGCCGAATGCACATGTGTCTGCCACAAAGGTTACATACATTTCTGTGGTAAGACATGTTGTAAACATCTGGGGACAAAATACATCAGACGAAAGAAAATCTTAGAGTAAAATGTCGTATATACACAGCACCAATGGTTCTAGAGACCTCTGCCATTATATTTGTAAAACAACAGTAGGTATATGTACATCAAAAACATGTATGTCAGATGCATTTCTAAAAACGTGTCCTAAGGAGCACCATATTATTTTGAGGTATACTGATCGTGTTCCTATGGTGATCGAAGTAGTATGAAATGACTGTTGCGGGGTAATGGCAAGGTTTCCAGTTTCCAGTCCAGAATTTGTGAAAGTTGCTTTTATTTCTCATTAAGTGTTCCAAGTGCGTTTTTCTCGGATCTTGTTCATGTACATGACTGTACAAAATCATGGATTTCTTGGATTTCCATCTTGTGCAACCTAGTTCAGAAATGCAGGGATCGAAGATGTCCAGCATCAAATACGTGGTCTTTTACACGGTCAAAATCCAAAATACCACAGCAGTCCTGATCTGAGAAGTTTTTTATAGCGCCAGAACGCCTTGATTATCATGTCATGTCATGATGAGCTGGGACAATCATGGAAGGTCATAGGTCACGGGATGATCCGGACCGGTATTCTTCTCGGTTGGGACCTAACCCCTAAAAGTGAAGAAGAAACTGTCGGTAAGAAACAGGATAAAAACGGAAATAGACCCAGTCAAGTACACTGCACAAAGCTGTTCCTCATCAACAGCCCTCAAGAAATAAGCACTGCTTTTAAGTTTCCGGTACAGCACGCAGAAAGTGGACTTGTATACATGGGGTTCATCAAATAACTTATAAGAAATGATTGTGATTCTAAACTTCCATTTCTACTTCAATCAAAGATCCATTTCCACCTAAAAACAATAGGTAAAGAAATAAATGATAAAAGACTAAAATCCTGTACATCCAAGCCAAATGGTTACGAAAAAGAAAATAAAGAAATATCAGAATACTGTATATCCAACCCAAGAAGTTACGGGAAAATAAAGGAAACAAAACAAAGGCTTCCCCTGGCCTTCTGTAAACAAGAGCGTACCGTATCGTTCTGCGTCTACCCCTACCTGACGGTCTCCGTACACAGCCTCCGTTCATAACAAACGGGTTCCCCATGTAGCCGGGCTTACATCTGGGGAGGGAAAGCGGAAACAACAACTTTCATTCACACGACAAAAATGAACGAACTTTTCAAGTGGAATAAGTGAGCTATCATGTCTTATAATAGACAGAACCTTGGATGAGCGGCAATATTCCGGTGTCGTATTCTTACTGTGTACAAATGCTAGTTCATAGGATTTTATCAGGGCTATTTATCAATAATGAAAGTTTTGCTATATATACGAGCTGTAGCAAGTTTTTCGCTAAATCGTTCTAACGTGGCTAACTGACAATGACTCACAAGTTACGAATTGAATTATGGACAACCATAATCAAACTATGCTAGAAACAATACTCCTCTCAAAGAGTCCAGATTGTGTTGAGTTCCAATTGTTATCAAAGGCACACATTACACTTAAGATGTTACATATATAGCAGTAGCCTACTTTCCGCAGTCTCGACCATAATGTCCTCTTCTACAATTTCTACACGTCGGCTTGTTGTCGCTGTCTAGGAAACAGGTTTCGGCAAACCTAGTAAAAGAAGAAATTTGATCCGTGAAATAAAAGAATCTTCTTTTGTCAACAATTTTTTAAATAACTTTATTTTTAATGTGGTAGTTATACAATTGCAAAGGAGTGTAGGAAGCAAAGTTTAAGGGGTATTGGTTACCGGGTAACGAAGAACAAGATACATGTCCGACCTGTTTTCCCTGGTTGTGAGCGGACAGGGACATTCCTTACAGGCGTTCACATCTCCACTGGACGGGTCGCCGTAGAACCCGATCGCACACAGCTCACAGAACTCTCCTCGGGTGTTGTGGAGGCAGTTCTATAAGACGGGTGAGGGTGGATGGATGGATGGATGGATGGTTGGTTGGTTGGATGGTTGGTTGGTTGGTTGGTTGGTTGGTTGGTTGGTTGGTTGGTTGGTTGGTTGGTTGGTTGGTTGGTTCATTGAAAAAATTATAATAGTTACTAGTGAATTTAAACATTATCAGATCATCCCTGTGGTATACAGAAATCACATATACATGTATATAAGTCATTGACAAAAAAAATGACTATGATGTCGTTAGTAGGGGCGAATTGGTTAAGATAAGTAAAATCATTTTAATATTCCATTTTGGTCCTTACCCCTATCTTTGCAAATATAATAACCATTTTCTACCCAATCAAATCCGCTACCCACAGTTCACCGTCACACAACACTCACCATACATTTCCCGTTGGCGTCACAGTCAGTGGCGTGTCCGTTACATTTGCAGGGGATTGTGGGACGGCAGTCGTCCGGCGTGCCTTCTGTAGCGTCTCCCATGAAGCCGTCCTTACACCGCTCACACTTGTCTCCTTCTGTGTTGTGGAGACAACCCTGGGGAAAAGGTCATGTTAGGGTGCGGCCATGTTCGTCACGCGATAGAGAACGACTGTGATTTTGAATGTACATTTTATATATAGCAAAGGCAATGAACTGTATACGTAGGTTTGTACAAAACCTATTTCCTTATTTCATTACATATTTGCTTTTAATTTCTAAACGTCCTCTTTACTTTTAAATTTTAAAACTTAGATTTTTCATCAATCAAAAATGTTTATCAAACGGCCTATTGAAAAAATTTGAACCATAATACGAGCGCATGGAAAAAACTATCAGAGTGTGACGTGAACGTTCTTACTATGCATCTGCCCATCTCGTCGCAGTCGTTGGCGTGCTGATGGCACATGCAGGGCACCAGCATCTTGCAGTCTGCCGCCGTGCCTACCGTGGCGTCACCGAAGTATCCCATCACGCATTGCTCGCACTGGTCGCCCTCTGTGTTGTGCTGACAGTACTGCAGGTGCAGAGAGAACTTAATTGAGACGAGCTGTCTTCACGAGAAGATCAAGGAACTATTACTTTCGTATTCTTATGGCTTTACTTTTCTTGAAACTGACAGGTAATAGATAAAATAATGTTACCCTTTACGACAATGTTTCGTTTTTGACATACTGTCTATTAAGATACACATATAACTTATAAGAGTACCCCAAGTGAAGGGGCGATATCAACTTCCAACAACCTTTAACCCATTGGTTACGTAACAAATGTATACACTAACGTGTTCTGGGCTATTAGGTCAGATAGCTGAGTGGGCTGAATGATTCAGTCGAAAATTGGGGTGATTCCAACTTTTTGTGTTGGAGAACAATTTAATCGTTCTATAGTATGCCGGCGTTGTCATGGCAACGTCAAAATAAATACGTCCTACGTACGAGACATCGCCCGAAGTTGTCGCAGACGTCGGAGTGGCGGTTACAGAAGCAGGGGACCCGGTCGATGGGTGACGTCACCCGCTGGCAGTCGTCTGGCGTGCCCAGCCGGCCGTCACCGACGAACCCCGGCTTGCAGTACTGGCACTTGTCGCCGTACGTGTTGTGATCACAGTTCTGAACAAGGCAGGTAAAACAGAAACTTTACATGTTTCATTTTGAAAAGTCTAGGCTCTAGTATTCGGTCCCTTTTGCGCCTATGGGCGCATAGGGCAGCAAGATTACTTGCAAGTTCTGTAGCAAGACTTTTATGTATATCAAGAGCTCGAGTGGTTGCCAGGCCTTGGAAGACCATTTAAACCACGAAGAGTGTACCTGTCTTTAGTCGGTTTTAATAACTTTTTAACGTTGCTGGAAGGCAGAAAAAAGGATGTGCCAAGCTACCCACGACAGGTTGCTTAATTTAATATTAATGTTAAAAAGTCAACGAAATAATCATAAAGTTACTAGTAGTGCGTTTCTGAATCACAATTATCTACATTGACAGGAATAACGACAAACAATTGGGTCTAGGAAAGGTCACCTGACACCGTCCCCTGGAGTCACATTCCGTGGAGTGTCCGTAGCAGTCGCAGGGTTCGAAGGCCCAGTGACAGTCGTTCGGCGTACCTCTGGTGGCGTCACCCCTGTATCCATCCGCACACAGCTCACACTGGTCACCCTGCGTGTTGTGCTTACAGTCCTGACAGAGGAAAATATAGAAGCAAAAATGTTATGGTATGTCTAAGCTCTAAAACTATACTAAATCTACATGAAAACCTATACCAGTTTCCCTGACAATGATTATGAAACCTGGAAAGTTGATAGCTTCTCCACGGGCAGGTATAGGAGTGTTTTACCGGCCTCAGTCATACTGAGCACAGGCCTTTCTTTCCAATAGCCTATCTTTCAGCCGGCCTTTATGATTGCTGCCGTCCATTAGTATAGGCGAAGTAATTGAAACCTACCTGTAAGAAGGTATACGCTAATAGAACCTGTAGATGCTGCCACGTCTTCATACCATCTTTCCAGTGTGACCACTTTTTGGTCCCTTTAAAGAATTTTCCCAAGTATTATGATTCCTGTCCATAGTGACCACCTGTCCACATAGACCAGAATTTATCGGTGCATTGACTCCATTTAGTAGCCTTCTTGGGTAGTTTTGACTGTACATGTATATGCTATTTATATAAATGTAAGGCTTCTGTGACGCACCAGACATATTCCCTCGGCGTCGCAGGCGTCCGAGTGCCCGTTACAGGAGCAGGGCACGATGGCGCTGCAGTCTCCCGGGGTGCTGTACCGGGGGTCGCCCGTGTAGCCCGGCAGGCACTTCTCACAGTGGTCACCCATCGTGTTGTGTTTGCAGCGCTATACAGAAGTAGTACAGGGGGGGTCAGACGTTTACATAACGAAAAATGCCATTACATTATACAACATCTTTCCTCAGTTATCGGTTCTTAGCTTCAGAGAATAATCCCGTTCCTTGATTCATTTTGTGTTACTTAATGTTCAATCCAAATGGCTAACCTTCATTGACTGAACAGGATCACCGTTACTACTACCAGAGATATGACGATTCATCAAAGATCTTTCCGAGGCGTCGCACCCATATCACCTGAAGCCTCGACCAGAAGACAGGTGTATGGCCTGCCACACCTAACAACAACTAGTCCTGTCAACAGTTATTATAATGAGAGCTACGACCACTCACCAGACATCTGCCAGAAGCGTCGCACTCGTCTGAGTGTCCGTAACACCTGCAGTCCTCCACCAGGAGGCAGTCGTACGGCGTGCCTCTCCGCGCCTCTCCCGCGTACCCCTCCCGGCACCGCTCACAGTTCGGACCCTCCGTGTTGTGCATACAGTTCTGCGGAGAAGGAGCACCAGTGTCGAGTAAGTGTAAATGTAGTTCTCCATTTGTTATAAGTATCTGAAGTCTTAAAGGAGATATAAAATAAACATATTGAGATGACGTTAACAGTGTGTTAATGTATACTTACAACGCAGCGCCCGTTGGCGTCGCACTGGTTAGAGTGCCCGTAGCAGTAGCACTGCTGGCGGGAAGGCTGCTGTTGTGCCGGCGGAGCGGCCGGGGCTGGGGCCGGAGCAGGGGCTGGGGCGGGGCGCGACACAGGAGTACAGGAGTTGGGCAGGCCGGTCTGCGCGTTGCCTTGGTACCCCGGTAGGCAGTTCTCACAGCGAGACCCGTACGTGTTATGGCGACAATTCTGTAAAAAAAAATTCATAAACAATATGAAAAAACATAAATATGGTAAATTAAACCTTAAGTCGTAATCAATCTACTTAATCAATCTACTTGACTGTCTTGTTTTAAGCCTCTACAAATTTCATTCAATACTAACAGCAAGTAAGTCATGTTTGCATACAAGTTTACTCCACCAAATTCTGCTTCTCAGACATCGTTTTTCCTAAATCAGCCCAAAACCATATATCTGACAGCGGTACTGATTTGAGTGTCCTTACAACTTACAAGTAACACTGGCATGCCTGGCCTGATGACATAAACATACCTGACACCGTCCATACTGGTCACACTGGTTAGAGTGTCCGTAGCAGTAACACTGGTACGTCCTGGCCGGGGGTTGGGCAGGAGGGGAGACCAGCTGGCAGTCCTGGGCCGTGCCCCTCTTCGCGTCGCCTTGGTAACCGACTTTGCACCGCTCGCAGTTTTTACCGTCCGTGTTGTGGAGACAGTTCTGGTCATATTAAAATATTAATGAAATGAAATATATGAAATATTAAAACAACGTGATTTCTTTCTAGTACATGGGTGGATGTTAACGTAAAAATGAAAGAATGTATGCCAATTCTATGGAAACTTATGGACACGGCTATACATCCTGTACCATCCTAATGTGCCTTGATCATCACGCCGATCTGCTTTAAGTTCTTTTATAGTGTATTTCTTATCGTTTAATCATTCGTCCTTTTATCTATATTCCAATCAGCAGACAGCTTCAAGCAGAATATCACATACTGATGGCAACCCTTAAACTAAACTAAATCTTAAGATCGCACACCTACCACACATCTGCCGTACTGGTCGCAGTTGTAGGCGTGTCCGTAACAGTTACACGGCGGGCTCTGAGCCTGACAGTCTAGCGCGGACCCGCGGGTGGCGTCCCCCGTGTACCCGGGTTTACACGACTCGCACCGGTACCCCATCGTGTTGTGCTGACAGTCCTGTAACACATACAACAAAGCACGACTTCAGAAAATTTACCTACATAAGTACACTTTGTCCAGCACCCTTCGCGAAACCCGAATTTTTTCAGTTTTCGTTGAATCAACGTTTGATCAAGGTTGCATCAGATCTAGAGTTTTGCCTGTTGTAGACGATATCATTTCTAACGCAGCATTTGTAAACAATGGTCAGGATATCTAATTTCAGAAGAGTTGGCAAATTATTTATAGGGTTTTATTTTAGGTTTTGCTTGAGTGTCCCATAACTACAAAAACTCTACATTTTTAACGGCAAATTCAGTTCAACCTGCAAATTACATCCTACAAGTGCTCCATGGAACTGCAAGGGGCAATGTTGACTATGGAAACTAACTTCGTGCCAAACATGCATACCAAGCTGATCCCGCATGAAAACAAACAACAAATCGTTAGCCGATAGCATTGTGAAGCTCCCTCTAAACATCCGTTATATTGTGACACTGTTACTCTATATCTCGCTAAGTGGTTATAATGAACTTGATGATTTCTTTAAATTTTATGCTGATAATTATAACAAATTTCCTCATATCGTTCTTTTTCCCAGTTTAGCTTGCTTGGCTCTGCACGTTATTTAGAGATTCCCCGTCAAGACGCCACTTTACTTTAATCTCCAAGCAGATGATGGAACACGTTTACAAGCGCGATTGAATATACCCATGACTTAGTTTCCGCCTCTAAAACAAAGCATAAAATGTTCATTTTCAAGAGACATTGAGATTTGAAGCCACGGACGATGGGAACATTTTAAGTACTGATGTGATTCTTCCCTGTCTCTTCCAGTCCCTAGTGGAGGTATTAGAAGTAAATCCGGGAAAAGAAATACTCCCTAAGGAAAGTCCACCTGTTCCATTTCAAGTCGACGCCATGTTTAGACGTTCTCTCTGCGGCTCGCATTCCGACCATAACAGTTTATTTATAATCGAGCCGCAGACGACAGATACACGGTTTAGAGAAGGAGCAGAGGATGGGACAAGGGAGAGGGTGCCAACAGGGGACGATCGGTTATAGCTTGGATATATAGATATAGTAAATTAAACGTTAAGACCTTAAATCAACTTCTTTCTTTACCAAATTACATTCACCTAAATGATAGTCCAAAATACAATAGCAATATACGAATTTGCATAATATTACAATTGTCACACCATACGACGTAAAATTGGGCGATAAAATACAACTCAACTACTCCTAAATGACAAGTCATTGTAAGACCATACCAAGCACCTTCCGTAGGAGTCGCAGGCGCGGGCGTGGCCGTGGCAGTGGCAGCTGTAGGACGGCGGCTGCTGCTGGTCCGAGGCCCGGTCCACCTGGCAGTCGTACGCCGTGCCCTTCTTCGGGTCGCCACGGTAACCGGGTAAACAGTTCTCACAGTGTTCACCGTACGTGTTGTGCTGACAGTCCTGGGGTTGGGAGATGATTGATTGATTGATCGATCGATCGATTGATTGATTGATTTATCTATAGCAATGTTAAAAGGATACCATTTAATAGTACCATGATCAGGTTTATAATCTTAGTTTGCAAAAAACTGTAATAAGCAAACTTAGTCGTCTAATTTTTCTTCGCCAGACTGAATGATCGTAACGTCATATCACGTGACTGAGGCAGTGCCTGGAAGTCTATATCGCCCTCCTTCCCGCCAAAGACCAAAACTTTGCTGCTTTTGAATTTAATGTATTGGGAACACTATTACACATTTGTATATTTGCTTCCATGTGATTTGGGTATGTTCTTACCACGCATCGGCCGTTTGTGTCGCAACTGGAGGCGTGTCTGTAGCAGTAACACTGTATTCTCTGCACGGGCTGACAGTCGTATGGAGTCCCGCCCTGTGCATTCCCCGTGTATCCCTCCTCGCAGTGCTCGCAGTTGTTTCCCCGTGTGTTGTGTTGGCAGTTCTACAGAAATACAAATAAAACATACATTTCTTTTCACACTAACGACATTCTCATAATGCGTAACCACCACATAATCGTGGGTTTGGGCAGAAATAAATCTTAAATAAACTTGATCAATGAACGGAAAAATAGAAGAGTGAGATGGAATGAAGACACAAGAATGGATGAAATAATGAAAGGGCTTAAGTACCAAATAATGTGTCGTACCAAGCACCTGCCAATGTAATCACACTGATACGCATGCCCGTGACAGTTACATCGCCTGGTAACCCGTTGCTCACTGACGCGGGCGCCTGATTGGTCGGATATCGGCTGGCAGTCGTTGGGTGTGCCCCTCCGTGCGTCGCCATAGTAACCGGATGCGCAGTACTGACACTGACTGCCGTACGTGTTGTGTTCACATTTCTGGTAGAAGAAATCGAGACGGGCGTTCTGATGAAGTGTTTACCGAAAGGGGGAGGGGTTTTGGCACTGAGGATGGTCTTAGCGGTTAACCACACCACAAACGCTTTTGGGTAGTTTAGGAAAATTTAAGGCGGTCTTATTTCGGGGAGAGGGGGGGGGGGACTATGCTATGAGTCAGTGACGTTACCTACAAGATGGAGAAAGGGGTTGTCTAGAGAGAGCGCTATGCTACGTTAAAGCTCCTGCCACACATTCAGAACCTAGCCCCGACCATCAACTAACCAAGGTTGGCTGAAGCTCGGGAGCAGTCTGACCATATTTTGGCAACGCGTACCTTTCGATACGAATTAAATTTAATAAAATTTGAATAAAACCTGCCAACCACGCCCCGACTACTGCCGACCTATTCCCAACCACGAGCCAATCAGTCCCCAACCATAGCCCAGGCTTCCGTTCAAAATGGACATATTTTGGTAACGCCTCAGGGAGGAGCTTTAATCAATATAACATGGGCTTCAAAAATAGCACCCTTTCAAGGGTTGCATTTTTTATTGTAAGACGCGTCAAATCAGTAATTAGTCATGGTTTATTGTAGATTACATCTAAAATCGCGTATTATTGTCAAAGGACAACTACAGAAAATTTCTACAGCAGTTATTAGACTAAACATGCAAAGTCCAGCATGTGGCTACCACTGACGTTCATGAAGGTGGGGAGCGAGCCGGAGTGTTAGTGTACTAGGTGATAGAGATTAGGACAGGTAAGGGGGTTCTACTAGAAAGAGGTACACAAAACGTAAGGAAAATATTCATGTACATGCATAATAGTTAACTTTGATCATTACACAATATCGTTTTCTAAAAACGCCGTGTAAACATCTTACGTCTAATTCTTTAACACGTTTTCATTACATTTCTTTTCCTCTAATGGAGAAAGCTAACAGGATTAAGACAGAGTCTAGTTCTGAAATCGTAAAGACATTTTCTTTTGTCTCTAAGAAAAGACAGCTGATAAAACCAGGAAGTGTTAGACGACGACGTCGTACCATGCAGTTGCCCTGAGAATCGCACATGTAGGCGTGCCTGTGGCAGTTACAGGGCCGGGACACCCGCCGGGTGATCACAGCGCCCGTCTGACCAGGCAGCGGCCGGCAGTCGCTGGGCGTGCCCCTTCGAGCGTCTCCATAGTAACCGGGGGAGCAGAATTCACACTGGGTGCCTTGCGTGTTGTGCTGGCAATTCTGATCGTAGAACAAAACGTGCGTGAACGTGCTATAAATGCGCTTTACAAAGATTTGAAAAGGAGATTGCTTTTACCATTTTTACCAAGCTTGGGTAACAGCGTTCAGGCTGGAAGGAAGGGGAAGGGGGCAGGCGTCGAAAGCTAGGAGAGAAGAGGGCAGTAATAGGTATCACTACCATAATACTGAGAATTCAAAGTTGTCAGAAGTCATCTACCGGAGTTTTAGATCATGAAAAAACACACATTGGCATAGTACTTTAGCCTCTAAAGTGACCATTTAGTCCATGACTAGAAAATTTCATACGGCAGAACCTATCGTGAATATGACTCTATGAATCTTCCAGTGGACCGATTAGAAATCTTCCAGTGGGCCGATTAGAAATCTTCCAGTGGGCCGATTAGAAAAAATCAATTGTTACAAACGTCATCTGGATTATGGAGACAAGTCACTCCTTAAACTCCATAAACCCCGTTCACCCTCTCAGACCCTACCCTACCTGTTCCTTTAAAAACAGTGTCTGGAGAGCCTGTATTACCTTTCATCTAACGTACAATGTTGAGTCTTAACGCCAGACACTGCGACAATACACCCGCTTCTTGACTTGTCAGCTGCGGGGAGATATAATACAGGGGCGCGGGGAAACTCTTTGATCTGGAAATTTTTCAAGTCGCGTCACGTAATCTACCTCCATCCGACACCCGCTAGATTCGGTCTTCGCATGAAATAGCATGTAAGGGTTGAAGCTAATGGCACTGGGTAGTGTTACCGTCGACTGTTAAGTGCTTCCAGCAAACGGTGAATGGAAACACTGTTCAAAATCTGCTTGCCTTTAGTTGTGAACGTTAGAAATGAGTGAAAGTGTTATAGAGGACAAGGGAAAGCGACAAAGAAACGCAGCCAGGGTTGAAAGTTGCATTATCTATATCAAAGAAAGCAGGGATTTGCCATTCAGTGCTTCAAATAATAATAAAGAAGATGTATTCCCTTGGTTTACGTTTGCCACCCAATTGATATAAATGTTGACCTAATAAGGTCACTGTCGTATCCAGAACCGTGTTTTATGAATAACAATGCTTAGGCTCGGTTCTGGATAGTCCACGCATATTCAAAACCGTGCCTAGGGCAAATCTGCGTTCTTGGATACGCGGAGTCTGTCCAGAACCGTGCCTGACAAGACAGCTCCATAGCAGGTCCAACTTACGAGACAGTATCCCGTCGACGGGTCGCGTATGTTGGAGTGTCCGTTACAGGTGGATCTACCTGAGAAAAAGAGAGTTGTTAGCAGATGTGCTGTTTCCTGAGAGGACGTTATTTTCAAAATATCGCACACACACATATACATACCGACGCTCACACACACGCACACACACATTCTCTCTCTCTCTCTCTCTCTCTCTCTCACTCACTCTCTCTCTCTCTCTCTCTCTCTCTCTCTCTCTCTCTCTCTCTCTCTCTCTCTCGCACACACTCATGCAAACAAACACTTCCAAAATAAAACCTCCGTAAATATAAGAAAACAACTCACCGCATCCGACCTCGTCCGACCTGTCTGCGCAGTCCGGCTGCCCGTTGCAGACCCCGGCGGAGGGGACGCACTGTCCGGAGCGGCAGGTGAACTGGGACGGCCCGCAGCCCCGCGGCACCGGCTGGGCCATGTCTGCTGATGCACACGGGGAGGGAAAAATGACGATCAGTCGGGTATTTCCACAGGGGTGCCCAAGTATTCTCAGTGATTGCTACAAAATACGAATTCTGACCAGGCGTAGATGTATCATTCGCCTTTCCTTCGATTTGCGACCGATTGCAATCGTATTCGTAGAGATTTTGACGAGTTCCAAACAATTTTCGTACCTTTTTTTGACAATTGTGACAGATTAGCCGTGTTAACCGTTTGAACGAAATTTATAACGAAGGTGAATGAAACACTGATAAAATCGCTAAGAATACTTCGGCAACCCAGGAAAACTTATTTCTCTTTTTTTCACAATTGTTACAAAGTCACACCAGATCTGCCATTGACAGGTGACGACGTCACGTGATGACGTAACCAGCAACAAGCTGGGGAAGCGAACTAACCGGGAAGGGGGGGGGCGTCTGGAAAAGGCCAGGGATAGGTGCGGGGACAGAAACTGGTTTATTGACGATTGTACACTTAAAACTCGACTCTTTCTTTGCGACAGTTGTCTGACCACTACAGCTTAGCATCCCGTGTACATGCCTCTTCTTCTTTTGTCATCCTCAACTGAGGTGAAGCATGGTGCCTTTTCAAGTAGCTATTACTAGTGCAATGCGGTTTCGCCGCTGATTTTACAAGAAAATGCTTTCCTTTATATAAATTTCTTACTAGAACACTGGATGGATTTGTCGGTAGTGTTAACGAGACGTTGATCATCAGAAAAAAAAAGAGCACTAGCGGGATCAGGATCAGGAACATCAAGACACAGGGTGAACACTTACCACATATACTATGGCGATTATCTATGAGTTAAGATTAACGGCATCCTAAAACACCATGGTGGGTTATAAACCGCACTTCGTTCGAGGGAGCTCCGGAACTAAACACAATTACAGATGATTTTTTCTTTTAAACTCGATGATGACAAATCTACTTTTGCTTGAGTAATTTGTTTGTGGGATAATGAAATCCTGTGCAAATCCTGTGCACGTCTGCTCGGTAAAATAACGACTATTTTCACCCGTGGAGCAAAGAGTTGAGCTCGAGTGTAAAATCTAGTAGTACTGTCATTTCAAAGCTCCTTCAATCAAAGTGCAACATATGTAGCATTAAGGGTCACCAAAGAGACAGGCGTGATATGAAGCGTCTAGAAGCAGACTTTAATATTACGGGAAGGTTCTGCAGAAGACATTAGGACAGGACTGAAGGCTGAAGCACGGACGACACAGGAGCACAGAATACAAACTGAAGTACCATTGAGCGCTGAGGATGGCGGGAGCCCATAAATAAATACCATGTAAAGCAGCCTACTTCCATCGGGCAGAACATCCGGGGCATCTAGATAGAAAAGAAATGATGACGTGTGATATATAGTGTTACGTGACGTCAGGTGGTGATGACATGTGATGTAAGGTGTTTTCGTGACGTCAGGTGTTGGTGACGTGTCATATATAGTGTTTCGTGACGTCAGATGCTGATGACGCGTGTGCTATATAGTGTTAAGTGACGTCAGGTACTGATGACTTGCTTGTGATACAAAATGTTAGTGCTACAGTGTACGGTGTTATGTGACGTATAGTGTGACGTGAGACAGTAACGTATAATGTGACGTTTAATGTGACGTGTGACAGTAACAAGTAATAGTGACAAGAAAAGTGATGACGTCGGCCTGACGTCTTCGCTAAGCTGGCAGAATTACATGGTGCTAATTCCTCTTAATCTTATTAGAGCCTCATAATCAATTGATGGAAGAAATGTCCATTGCGGACCAATAATCATTGACTTCCCGAGATAATTAAGACCAATTGCTTTGCAACAAAAGGTAAATACCGTTTTAACACCTTCATTCACACTCACAGTACCGTACAATACAGTGCACTTTAGGTAATCTTCAAGCAGATCTTTCGGTGCCAAAGTCGTTACCAACGATACAGTATCCAGCGTCAGAAAACTGTACACATAGAAGGCCACAATCTTCCCAACCGACCTCTGCTTGGAGAGCATCTTTAGGAAGGTCTGACCTGGGGTTCCGCATTTAATCTCATGTTATTCCTAAACAAATATGATGGCCCACATGATTTAACACTCTCATTTGTTCAATAACACCAACATCTCCGACTGCCCTAAAACACGTGTGGGGTCCGGATCCGGGTCTCTGAAACGTAATCTCCGTAACCTAGGGATAACGGCGGATTAGGCAAAACCCATATATTTAGTACCTTTACAGAAGTAAACATTTTTCTTCTCCTCCTTTTCCTCTAAGACGAATAAAATACGTCAATATTTCTACGACTAGAGCTTCCCTGGATTTTTCGGTTCACCTAATCTAAGACGATTCGTGGCTGGGCAAAATATTTGTTCAACATCAATTCAAAAACGTTGTTGAATGCACCAATCAAACGCCACATCGTATGCATCTTGACGCCGGTTTCTGTAATAGTACTACAATATACCTGGCCGATCTGATCACGCCAGGTAAGCCGACATGTGGCACCACCAAAGGCGGCCAATGGCGGGGCTTCCGGAACGATTCATAAAGCACCGCGCCCCAAAACAGGAAACCAAGGCGGAATTTCATTTATTACGACAATGTGTGTTTAGCAAAAAAGAGTTGAATAGTAATGTTCTCACGCCCTTGTAGGTCAATACTGTAGAATGTATCACCAAACCACAAGATCAGGTGAGAGTGGGACGACATTTAACGTTAGCCTCAGGCCAGCGGCACCGCCCACAGGCACACCTGTACGGGACAAGGACCGGAAATGTACCCTGGCCTCGGCCCAAACAATCTGTCTGACACGCCGCTTTCACATAGCCTCCACCAGGCCTTCCTTTGGGATAGTGTTTCGGCGGCAAACGATTTTCGATGGTGGAATTAATCAACCCAATGCAGGTACTGGGAACTAGAGTCGTAATCGTTATCAGATAGCAACTATTTATTTCTGCCGGTGCTGAGTGCAGCCAAACTAGCTCCTATTAGAACGAGTTAAACATATGTTTATGTCCCAACATGTTCAGTTTCCAAGTGAGTCCCTAGCTAGCTCTCAGAAGTACGTGTCTTTTCCCTACGCTCGAATCATCACGCCCGTTGAGCTGTACCTAGCTAGCCTGGTGATCATTAATTCTCTATGGTCCTCTATGGGCCAGCTTCGGAGTGTTTCGGCCCCGGTATGTTGGAACCAGGCCCGTTGCTCTGGCCAAGGAGATTTGCTATAGCAGTCGATTTTTCCATCCGGCTTCCAATTATATATATATTAGTAAATTCCTGCTTCGTGACGATCTAATTGAAACCCCTAGCGTGCACTGGGCACGAGGCTTGGTGAGCGGGCACACTCTAAAGGGCTGTAGAGCTGTGGATGCCATGACGGTCTGTTCACCAGGCTATCACGCCTGCTGAGCCGGAGATTTACTGCAGTAAGCTTCATGTCCAGTTTCGCTTCACACATGACTTAGTGACCCTTGACACGGGGCCAATCAGCTAACCCTCCCCGCAGCAGGCAGATGTTATCTGACAGGATCTGCACCTGTCCGGGATGGTAGGGATGGACCAGGATGCTACAAAGACTCGAAGGGTCGAACTAGCCTGGAAGCCAGACTACTGTAGCCTCTACCAGGGTCAATACTTCACTTGGCCTGGGGGGCCAGTCGCGGAAAGATAATATTTTCTGTGGGCATATGAATTATGGTGGATATAACCCCCTCGTATTGCAAATTCACGTTTGTGAAACCTTCGAATTCACCTTGTCCCATGAGGGCTGGAGACTATGGCAAATTTCTCTCCCAAATTTCTCCGAGTGAACAGTACTAGTGTGGAGGAGACGATGCACTAAGACTGTTTCCTGACTGGAAACTTTCCAGGGCCTTCACGTGCCACCTACTCGGCTCCACTGCCAGCATGCCCCAAAGGAAACTTTTCCTGGCACCCCTGAGGAAAGCCTGGAGCACAAAGCTTTCTTCCAGCAGCTAGGCAGCAGTCTGGCTTCAAGGGTCGAACTCGTTATCCCAGACTCTTATCTCAAGAATGTATATACCCTGCATGATATTTCGTTGTTATGAATTTAGCAATTGAAGACGAATTTTCTATGGATATGCAAAATACTAAGTAAATCTTATCATTTGCAAAATACAAGGGTCCTGCTTTTCTGACAACCATCAACAACTGGGTCACATTCTCGGCCAAGGTAAACTTCTAAAAGTTCCTAAGCCACATATAGGAGTTTCCTGACCTCATGCACGGATACCCTGACTCTTGTGAAATGAAGGGTATCCTGTGGCGAAGGTTTGGAAATGAGCGTGACATCGAGAGTTTGGCAAACCGCAGACTCTTAAGCCTGGATCTCAGACCCGGCGCGACACCAGTCGGCAGGGTGCGGGGAAAGCCACACGCCCCTATCCCAGAGTTGGCACCCGGGGTCCGACTTATCTCTTGCGCCGGGGTAAGGGGGTCTGTGGTAAAATTAATGGGACATGTCGTCCCTGGAGCCGAGGAGCTAACCTGTATATTGATGATATTCCCCCTCGCAACAGCCTGGCACCCAGGCTAATTCTCCTCGCCAGCACGACAGGACAGAGTCTGGGCTTTCCACGAAACAACACTTCCTTCTCCAACCAAACCGCACTCCACAAGTTAAACATACAATCTTCCTAAAATTTCTTTGTTGTGTGACATCAATTTTATTAATCCATTTTCTAGAAGGTGGCGAGTTAAAATGGAGGTACTTTATGAACACGCCTCATTTGAAACGGCGTGCTTCATTGTTGTAGTACAATAATGATTATATTAAGTTGAGCAAATAAACTTTTGTTAAAGTAAACATACCGATGATGCGAGACAGTCCCTAACATAAACCACATGTCTTACTAATTGAAGCCGGCTCCTAGCGGCCGGCAGAAGTTAACCTGCGGCGACGGAACATCCGTCGAGGAACACACGCAGTGAATGATATCGTGAATTGATACGCTCCTACGTGTAGGCAAACTATATGAAATTCACCTGCGTTGAGCGAAAAACAATGTTAGATTTTTATTTCTAACATATAGGATTTTAATATTTGTTTCAGTCTATTGGATGTTGTTCATGTTTGTCTCCTGACTGATTGAATGCAGCATGCCTTGTCCTGTATGATATGTTCTATATACATGTAGTATATGCCGACAACCAACACAGATCGATCCAAGCCTCGTGTCTTGGAAAAATCTTCAATCTCCCATTCACACAGAAATGAATCTTGTACTTTCAGACACCACATGCTACGTTTACCTTATCTTCACGTGCATCGCAGAGGGAAAACAACATTGCTCGGTATTGATTTGATACACGTGGCTAACGATGGTCTTTAGCAAAAAGCAGAAACAGTTTCTTCCTGTGGGTAACTCAATCAATCTTTACACTACAAACGATAAAGAAATGAAGAAAGAATCTGGCATCCGGGCTAAGAAGAACAACTTTATTGCGCAACAGATGTAGCAGGTACAACGTATGGCAATATTGTATCCAATATTCCTCACTGACAAAAAAGCACCCAAATCGGAGCATCTCTGACAGAGGCACTAAGTGTTAGCCTGGTACCTAAAATATACTGCTGGTGAGTCTTTTTTGTCCTCTCTGGAAAAAAATACGGAGAGAGGACGAAAGACACTCGGCAGCTATAATAGGTCCGGATACCTAGCTACAAAAATGTAGGGCAATCGATGTCCTGTTTAACAAACCTGCTATTATATATACAGTATTCAACGGACCCATATCTCAAGCCCTCAAGTACATGGCACCATTACGTTCGACCTGAGTTATGTCTGACCCAGACCTGTTTTTGTTGATATACAAACATCGCCCTTTGTACCCCTTAGTAAATCTCTCAACGTTAACGTGACGTAGCCATGTCCGGAAGATAGATTTGCACTTTCCAGACCCCTCTAGGGACAAACCGGGAGTGGGGCGATAGGGTGAAAAAATTATGTTACTGAATTTTTCTGGTCAACATGCAATGCTCTCATCTGTCAGTCTGCATTTTGGCTGTACTTTCTGAAGAATGCCTTAACCCTCACTATGTTGTTTTCCTATATTCTTTCCACGTGGCTAAAAGCAAGCAAATGAACAGTACTATACTACTGGGGACTGTACAATATTTATCTTCAATGGAAACCAGATCTGCCAGTGCCCTACATACATGTCGAAGAGGATTTTGGGCCTGGATAGGCCTCATCAACCACCTCCGGACCCACCAGACCAAACAAACAACCTATAAACCTTGCTCGTCTTCAACAATAAGGACGAACAACAATACACTACTCACTAGACAGTTTTCAAGATATTAAAAAGTCAGTCAAAAAGAGCGGCCCAAACTGCAATCCTTTACAGTTCCGGACGAAGACTGTGCTCTGAGAACAAGAATTATTAAAAACCTGGTTTTCAGTTTTCACCTACATAACCATGCACCAGGGAACACCTCTACCTGACCCGTCCCTTGCTGTACTCTGTCTGGAACACGGGAACTGTTTGTTTGTGTAACCTCTCACAAGGTGCACTGCTGTAGGCCGGAACACAAACTAGCTCTCGGTCAACACACTAACACACTAAGTACATCAGCCGGGGGCCCTTCTCACGGCCTGTACATACCAGTAGTGTACACGACTTGGGAATGCCTTCGCTTGGGGCTCATTATAACGGCACCACGTTTTTAAGAGTCGACCTTGACTCTTAGCTTACAACACCTACAAGACCGCCTTTTATTCTAACAACAAAAGGCTGGTCCACGTACCGCGATCCTGTTTGGGAAATACTAATAAGACGCACGTCAAGCCTAGCCTCACAATGAGGCGTGTCGAATACAAAGACAGGCACAAATGAACACCAGTTGATTCATGATAAGAACGTCCGTCGGCTAGGCCTGGGCGTGAGGCTACCACTTTCTCCAGTTGCACAACACAGCTTGGTGAAAACTGCTTATGGAATACAGACTTTCTGGCACGAGCAGGGGGGCCGTGCCGACAGACAAACTTGTAGATGCAGACTTGGAAAGGTTGGTCACAAGCCAAAGCGCTTCCTATATAAATACACAGATACAAAACCGTAATGTAGAAAGATTCTCCTTGGCCTAATGTCAGGATAGTCTAGTGCGCGGCGAAGCGAAGCCATACGGGGCAAATAAAGTCCACCTGTACAAACCAGAGGTTAATAATCTGCCCAGGGTCGTAAGGTAATAACATTCTTTTGTCGTTACAGCGGTTTTAAGCCCAGGCCGTGAAAAGGTCGACCCTTCCCGCGAGGCCACACACCTACCGGGACAGTTGGTCTCGTCGGTGTAGTCCGAACAGTCGGCCCGCCGGTCGCACACCCACCGCCGGTCGATGCACCGCCCGTCCCCGCACTGGAACTGGCTCCCGGGGTCGGGGCACTGGGTCCGCTGAGACCGGGCCGCCGCGCCGAACAGCATAATTACCACGAGCAAGGTCGCCATTGGTGAGGTGTAAAGGGTGGGGAGGGCACTGCTGACCCGGCCGGTACTTGTATCGTACTGTTGGTGCGCCTTTTTCGGAAGAGATGCCCGCTGAGACGACTGCCTGCTGACGTGACCTGCCGGAAGTGTTTACATGCCCCTGGTTCTCCCGCCACCGGTTCGCTAAGCCGTGAGGAGAAGTCACGAAAGGCCACGGAGTACAATTCTCAGAAGACGGGAAACAATTCACATGCCTGCAAAAATCACCGCACAGATTAACGCCCCGGGTATCTTAAAGGGGGAATAATATAAACTACACTGACCCCTTCTTGGGTTACACTTTAACAATAGGCGCTAGTTACGAATGTCCACTTAGCCTGTACTGTAATCAAGATAGCGGACGCAGTTGATAAAAGGGGCAGTCACAGGAGACGGATCGTTGTTATGGCAACGGAGAGGAAACCTGTAGGCTCAGTCGGTAATTTGAGACGCGCCATTTACCCACTTTGTCTCCTGCTGAATTATGGGCAACGACCCAGCTTATAATCCACCGGCAAACAATGGAGTAATCGATGAATTAAGTCTCCTCAAAATGAATTATGAAGTTATCACCCTCGCCTTATTGGCCATTGGTCGCGGATTGAGAGTGATGTATACCCTCGTATCTTTCAATTAAAGCTTTCGGACTTCAGTCGCATGAGTCGGTTGAAAAGAAGGCCAATTGCATTGCTCTTTTTTCTGACAGATTGAGAGATTGCCAACTGAAAGAAACCTATTAAATTCACCCGAACCACGCCACCTTGCGGTCTCTACTCTTCTCGGCAACGTGGCCTTCTCCTATCCCTTGATGATACATACATTTGTACTAAAGTAAATTGGAATCCAGACTGTTGCCAGGAGCCACACAGGTCAGCTCTTCGGTCCATATCCAACAGTCATAGACCCCAAGAAAATTTTGCCTCAGCTCCCCAGAAGGCCCTAGAGAATTCCAGCAGGCAAAATCACGGTGGCGGGCTTTGTTGTCAGTTCATGAGGGGATAGAAGCTTTCAGCGCCAAAAAAAAACACTCTTTACAAAATGTAGCCCTGGGAAAGACTGGTGACATAGCCTCAGCCCAGGTAACCACTCTGGACACACCTGGATGCAGGTTGTGTCCAGGGCCTACACGGTCCTAAGCTCCAAGGCCAACATTGAAATTATACCACAGACCCCCTCAGTTAAATAGGCCCTGATCCTCGCAGGCTAAATTGTAACTCTGGGCCTAACGTGTTATGGGACTGGCATCCAGGCTAATCTTTATAAAGGACACCGGAGTGTTTGACAACTCAGGGCCTTTGCTCTGGCAGTTGATCTTTCCAGTCGGCCTTTCTATTAAATCGGCGTCCAAACTGCGTGCTGGGTGCGAGGCAAGCACACTCTCTCGGCACCCAAGGTATCGTAGACGGCGGGGAGCCACGATGGACGGTCTGTTCTCAAGGCGACTGGTGACCAGATTGACTAAAAAATGTACCAGCAAGTCCCATCGCCACGGATGATATTAAACAGGCCAACCCCTCTCTGTGAGGCGCTGACATGTTGTGAGAACACACATGACGAGTGGTGGCCAACTTCCACCCGTTTGTTTATATTATCTGGGGCTTTTAGCGCAAACTTGAACTTTCCTGGGGCCGCAAGACAAAAGCAGGGCATGTCTGGGCTAATCCATCATCAGGAGGGGCGAGAAAAAATAGTTGCGGTGCATTTTTGGACACGGTTTAACATTCTTCAGTTGACGTGATACTCATATTCTCAGTGACAGCGTATGATTTCGATTTTCATTTTTCACTCCTCTATGTCATTTTTTCTGACTTATAATTGCCTCCACTTCGCCGTCTTGACATGGTGTCGACACTGACGTATATGTAAACCGTTTTGAAGGTTTTAAAGGTTTGTGCAGGTGCAGATTCAAGGCTTCTGTTGTATGGAATTGTTGACTTTACTGACGTAGAAGTCCTTACGATCATCCACGCTCAAACAGTCGGGTGGTGGTGGGACTGCCAACATTGTATGATATGCCAAGGCCGTGGCTGTCGTTTTACACAAACGAGGAAACACACTTTTAACTTATCATCACGATGGTTTGAAATATTGACGACAGTTCATATACGATCCGTCATTCCAGTCTCAGCTGCAAAAATGTTTAAAACTTGGCCTTTCAGAGTTCCGTTAAACCCATAGTTAACCGAGAAACAGCGTAGAGTATAGACGTACACTCCCTCCAAAAAGATCAGATACAACTCTTATATGGCTGTTCCTTCTTTATTGTTTCAAACTTCATTGTAACCCTTTTTGTTTTGCACACGTTGTACAAAAAATGTCACTTGGTTTCAACACAATGTTAACATCACAGCCACTGTGGATTATGCAGCAAGCTTAAGTTGCGGCTACACCAATTTTCTTTGGTTGTTCTTGAATTTTTTAAAGTAATCAATGAAATGGGCTGGCAGAAAAAAAACTAGGCATCCTGTGATATCGATAGCCCCAAATGCTGCCTCGGGAGCCACAAAGTCAATATATTGGGCTGGTTATGTATAAGGCCATGTTGATTTGATTACTAGTATATGGATGACCTCCTCTGGGAACCCCAAAACTGTTGCAAGCATGCGAATAAAAAAGAAAAGTTTGGCAAAAAAAAAATTTCCTTTATCATGAAATCTATGTGGTCATAAAGGTTGAACAACATATAGAGTATGGTATGGGGAACAATAATAGACTCTTCAGTGTCATTTCTTAACATTTTCCTCTTTTCCTGAATTGATTTTGGCATTCTATGACATATAATATAGTATCGTTTTCTAATACTTTTTTTTTGCAACATACGACATATATTCGCTCATTTTGTACAATTTGCAGTATGGTCAAAAACTTTTTTTTTTTGGAAACAGAGGAAAATTCATGTGGGTGCAGATGTCATCGATATAATCAAATCAACATGGCCTAATTCAGACAATGAATTTTGAACTTTTAATCAAATTACTGCATTGATAAATGGCAAAACTGCAATAGCTAGCTAGCTAGAGAGACAAAATATGAGAATTTTGGATTTAGAACCTGAATGGTACATGTACATTTTTTTGTTGCTGAAAATCTGAAAAAAACTAGAGTTCCACGATCTCATACCTTCGCCAAATGATGTTAACTTATATACAATGTATTAATCCCCCTGATTATGCAAATAGGATCCGCAATTGCATGAATTATATCTGTTGATCATAATCTCCACCAACAGTCTTATTTTAACAAAGAAAGCCATTATAGCATTTCCTCATATATTATGCAAATGAGGTCCTTATTTGAATAAGTTATGTTAAATTATGTTCACCTTCACTAAACTTCAAACACCCCAAGTATAAAATTCCAGGCAGTTACCACTATGCAATTATAAAATTTTCTCATTAATTATGCAAATTAAGTCTTCATTTGCATAATCAATATCTGCCTGTGTTTCTCTCGTTCTTAATAACATATGTCGCAAGCTTGAACTTCCTATCATGGAATGCAGCTGATTAATAGAATTGCCTCATTAATTATGCAAATTACATCCATATTTGCATAATTGTAATATCATTATGTCAAGCATTACTCAAGCTACCTACATACCAAAAATCATGATGATCCATCAATCGGTTCTTGAGTTATCCTCCTTTAAACATTTGTCCTTTAAACCCCCCTGCAGTTCTAGAGAAAGCAACTAGGGGGCCCAAACTCATGTCACTTCTTCCCCAGCACAAGAGCTACCTGCCATCCAAATTTCGTCACCCTAGCATGTCTGGATCATGAGATATCAAAACCGGAAGTTCAGCTGCAGTACCATGACAAGCTGCCAGGGGGCCCAAAATCTAATCAGTTCGAGCTCTCATCAAGACCTACCAAATATCAAGATAATCCATCTAAGCTTTCTCGAGTTATGCTGTTGACAGACACACACACAGACACACACACACACGGCCAGGAAAACATAACCTTCTCCAATTCTTGGCGAAGGTAATGAAGCAGGCAAATCGAAGAACTGTTCATAAATTGGAGTGGCCTTACCAAATGAAAACATAGAAGCAGTGTTGACACAGAGAGCACAGTTTGGCACAGATAGCACACATGTTCCACAAAACCATGATATGTCAGCAGACAATAATACTGCCACTATATCTGATATGTCCCAGTTGTAGCTATATGTACACAATATATTCATAACCACAGACTGTATGGAATGCATACATGAGTTGATATACTTATTATGCAAACATACATACAGATAATTTTTAGGATTCATTTCATACAGAACAACTATACTTAACACTTTCTGAATAGGCTGTTCTTGCATGTATTACATACCTACATGTAATTTTTGCCTAATTAGCATAGGATAACTCATCAGTAAGTCATTACTTACACAGCCTTCAAACTTGGCACTCATCCTTACAAACTCATACTCTTACCACAATACAATATGCTGGACAAAATATTTTCAATTCTTCACTTTTTCTTTCTTTTGTACGCACAGCTTCAGCTCAAATATAGTGCAACAACAATGTCTTTACACAAGTAACTCATTGCACTGTGTTTCCTTCAGAAACAAATAGGATACAGAGTTCAGGAAGGGAAAAATCATAAAAGGTCCCCAGCTCAGACAACACTCGGGATATATGCAGTTAAGTTCTACACTTTTCCCAGTTCAAAGGCTCAAATGAAACATGCAAATGGTTATTTTTTTCATATACTGTCTGATAGACTCATCTTATACATACTTGTCATTTCCACTCTCAGATTCACATTATAATCTTCGAACAACAATCAACATAATAGGATATTCCATTCCCAACAAATTCAATGTCTTTCTGTGCAAAAATTGATTGCGATTATTTTCAAACCTCCATTTTCTGTGTTTGTATCAAAGTTTTCTGACCCTGTGCAATCTTTCTTTATTATTTTCATATACCGCAAATGCAGAAACTTTCACGGTGGTTTTATTTTGTTCGCAGTTTTTGTGGTGACCTCTTCATTGCAAATTCGTGACACTACCAATAGTTTGATTTCTGTAGTACAAAATTGTTTCAACCATGAATTTAAAATGCCACCAAAACCTCCTTTTCCTTCCTACCACAAAATATAACCCCTGTGAAATTGAATGCATTTACAGTAGCCGAGGGTAGCTCAAATGCTACTGATCCAGCACGCCGGCAAAATGTACGGCACTTGCACAAAACCTGTAATGTGCATAGCACTTTGCAACTGCCAGAACGTCTTCTTTGCGGTCGTATTAGTGTAATTAAGGATGACATGCAGTCTATAGTTTTGAAATGTTGTGTCCGTAAAGATATCCTTTGTAACAGGTAAAATTCTGATGCCATGTTGACCAACGGAAACTGTGAAAAATCTGGGTTGCAGGCAGTACGTTCTGCTGACGTGCTTACCAGTCCCATGTTGTAACTATCTCCCGGAGACTGTTCTCACTTTCTCATAGAAGAGCAGGTAGACCTCAGCGCCCAGCACCTCCTGCAGCAGCACTCTCCTCACCATCATGTCTGACGTCTTGATCCACTTCTCGCTGAAGACGCCATGCTCGCCCTCCGGAGCGCGCCGGTAGCACACAAAGTGGCCGGAGAATACCTCACCCAGGTGCACAATCACTGCCACTAGTCTGTACACAGACGTGTGCACAGGCTTTCTGCAAATGTAACCAGAAGTTGTACATTAAAGCATAACATTAAGTTACAGACATCATCTGATTGAATTGTTGATCAGCACCTGTGATTGAGAGCTGCTCCAAATCAGAATCTCAGGGTGGTGGAACGGAGAAGTAGGGTCTATACAGTGAAGGCCTTACATTCCTATAGATTTCATTACCAAAGCTTAAGTAACTGACATTCATTTGACGTTAAGTCTGATGGGTCATGTATGATAACAGACACTCACCTGAAGGGTGTGCTTTTGAAGACAGATTCCTTGGCTGGACTGAAGGGACTGATCATGGCCATACTGGGGTAACAGGACAGGCGTGATGGGGAGAACAGGGGGGTAGAGGGGAATACCGGCGAACTCAGGCAGCTACTCACTGGGCTGGGGGGGAGACAACATACAGAAATCAACAACACTAGTGCTGTTTTTGTGGTCAGTATCAACACAGTACTTATAGGAGTTCAATATTAAAAAGAACAGTCATTTGAACATCATTCAGCACCAGGGACAGAGTAAATCAGCACCAAGAACATGTCATTCAGCACCAAGGACAGGGACAGCAGCGTCAGTGTAAATGTCATTCAAAGTTCTTTATTCACAACCACTTGATTAGCAAGAGCGTAAGATCATCTGTCATCTTCATCAGCACAATTATGACTGGTCCACTGTGCACTGAAGCTAGGTGTCACTTTATGTTTGGGACCAAAGTGTTAAGCCTAGCTTGAGTGCACAGAAACTTGGTGCCAGTGTGTTTACCTCTGTGGAACAGACTCTCCACGGTGCAGTATCCCATTTGGCACTCTCCCATTCCTCACACCCCTGGCCTTACCCCCCAGCAGCCCTGCCTTGTATCTGAATGCTGACATGTCCAGGTACTCTGGGAACAACACCTGGTCCTTCCTCTTGGTGGGTGTGCCATTATCCAGCCACACAGTTCTCTGGATGTGCACACACATGCACTGGGGCAGCTGTGGGAGGAGAGGTACTCAATGTACATTGCAGATCTGGTTATTTCTAGTGGAGAGGCGCTAAAGTACTGTAGGGACAAGGAAGAATCTTGATGGGGGTTTCAATGTCTAGCCAAAGGGTTCTCTCGAGGTGAATACATACATTGCAGAAACAATTCTGTATGACTGGCACCAAAGTAAGAATAGTGCAGGCTAAAAACAGAAACTAAATGTGAACTACACTGTATGAAAAAAGCAAAAAACAAAACTGACGAAAAAAATAATTCAAAGACAACAGAAGGAAAAGTATTCTACACTTGACGGACTGGACTACAACTTTTACACATCTTCCAGCCTATTCTTCCAATGACAACACAAAAGTGCACACATATCTACTATGTCAGTATGATCTTATGTATGTTTCCAGAGCTGACCTTCCCCAGTGTGAGTTGCTTGATGAAAGCAGTCCTGGCTGTGGCTCCCTCCTCCTCCCAGGGACAGGAGGCCTGCACACAGGAATCAACAAAACAGGCAGGTATCAGACAATACCTAAATGTATCCGAGGGTTGGCTTGAACCAAAGCTAGGTACTCATTTTTACCTGAGTGAAGTGACTGAGTGCCTTCCCCAAAGGGCACAACATTGGCGCATGTTGATGGATTTAAACCCAGGACCAATGGGTTCTGGGACAAGCACCTAACCATATTATGCTGCACGATCCCACCCTACATTTTCAAAGGATACCATAGTTACATGTACCTTCTGACAGTTCTCACACTCCACATTCTGCACTGTCTCTGACATCACAAACTGCTGGAGGAGACCTTCCAAGGTGTGGGGGCCCTGCAGAGGGGCACAGAGCCAAAATGAAAAAGTGAACCCTACTAGTAGTAGGACTTAGGACTCACAGAAAGTGTCCATATTATAGTCAAGTTGTGATGACGTCTACTTACCAGTTCATCAGGTGGGAGACTGAGTGACAAGCTGTCAAAGTGGTCATACTTCACTGGACACTGAAGGGAAACAAGTGAAGTGAACAAGAATATAGTTTGAATTATGCAAGTACACATACAAGAAGGCACTCTCCATAATGTAAATGTGATTGCTCTTGCAGTGTTTTCTTTGGGCATAAAGAGGGAAAGAAGATTTTTGTTGTGCTTGAAGTTTGCAGTTGAAGCAATTCTGTAGTACAGTAGAAGTTAGTAGAACAATAAAACACATATTCCCAGTGTTATCATTATGTGGTAAGAGGTCACTGTAAAACATCCGACAAAAACCGTGGAAAATCTGGGTTTCATGCAAGTGCAGTATGCAGCATGCTGACATGCTGTTTCATTGATGCGTGTAAGACTAACCTTGTGCCAGCACTGTTTACACCTCAGCTGACTGGCCAACAGACCCTTGAAGGGATGGTCCTGCCCAGAGTAGGCCAGAGGTGGCAGGAAACCTGTAGAAAAAAAATTGATCCTGATGTTAGATTTATATATTATAACTACAATGTATATAGTAGCTATCATCAAATTTTCATCAACTACTCATCTATAACACTCGCACCTACAGTGTATAGTTGACAAGGGCCATATGCATGAAAACTACAGAACAATCCACACACACAGAGCAATTTTGTAAGCCCAGAAGATTATGTTAAAAAAATATAGATACATGTACATACCATTTGCCCTGTTGACAGCAGGGTCCCTCTTCCCTCCTTCTTCACAGAACTTCTCCTCCAGCTGCAAACAGTAGTGTAACTAATTAGGACTCACAGAAAAACATTACAGTCAAAATACTGACAAAAATATTGCAGGTAACATAAGGTAGAGGCCCAATAGCCTCTATAGACACATCATCCAGCCAGGAATGAAAGAAATCGAACCCATGACCTGTTAATCTTGTGTTCCCTTGCCTAGCACTCTAGTGAGATCATAGGGTCTCTCTATGCCCATAGTTTCTAAATCTCACATAATCCATACATTGTTGTAGAGTGTTTCTGATATCAAAGATTTGTGTCAATAACCTTCCTACCTGCAGCAGCCCTATGTTGAACAGTGACACCACCGAGGGAGGAGCTGTCTGTGTTAGGAAAAAATACAGTGAGGCATCTCATCCTCTTCAACTTGTCAAGAAATCTGAGATTTCAAACTTCCAGGAAGTAGATATGCAGTGGTCGAAATACTTTTTCTCAGTGCTCTGCAATATTGCAGAAGAGTCAAAATTATGTTCTGCAATTTGGAAATACTTTCTGCAAATACACAAGCCTCTATACTACAATTTTGCAGGTTTATAAGCATGAACTATTGATTGATATGCAAATTAGTGAAGACAAATTTTTGGAAGTAAAAAAGGAAACAAAAAATAGACAAGTCCAGACAAGGATGATGCAAATTAGTGAAGAAGCTCCTGTTGTTTCACTTTCAGAACAGGAGACTGTCCTTGGGGCCAAGACCGCCAAATCCCAAGTGCCAATTTTTCCTGCTGCAGAATTGCAGATTGTATAAATTTTTGTTCTGCAATCTTGAAAATCTATCTGCAGATTGCAGACTGCAGACAGGTATTTCGAACACTGATATGGTTTGTGCTCATGAATTACATCATACAATGGATTCCTGTATCTGTATCGGTATAGCCGGTATAACCGCCCTTTGATGTAACACATCAGCTTTGCAGGCATGCAGCGTGGCAGCAGCTAGCTACATTACACCAAATGACCTGTTACACCCAATCACACTGATTCCTACTCACACATAAAATTGTACAATACAACTTACATTACTCTGCTATTACACCATGCACTCAAGAAATTTAGCTGAGTGTTGACAAGAGCATGGAGCCAGCTTATGATATATATCAGGAACGGATTCTTACCTTCTCTTCATCCAGTGTTGATGTGAGGACCTGGAATAACTCATGGGCATCCTACCAAGAAAGAAAACCTGATTCAGTTTACAGGGTTTCTTTTGTCTTATCATCCTGCGCATTAATTTGTAAACACTAGAAACTGTAGTATACATATTCAACATCAGGTTGAACCTTTAGACAGATTAAACAATTAGTCAAAAAGGAAAGCACAATACATTGTACTAGATGGGATCTGTTCACTGTACATTTTGAATTAAAAATTGGGATTTTCTCAGCAGACCCTACCTGTTCCTCTGATGAGATGACCCATCTCCTGGCCCTCAGTGCCTCCAGCACCTCCACAGGGCTGAACGGGTCGGGGACTATGGCTTGGTTGGTCAACACTGTGAATACATGATACAGAATACATGAAAACACAGTGGGAAGAAACCCAGCCCTCCCCCCTTAAAATCCTAGCTACAGGCATGTGTGTACAAGAAGCTTTGTGTACAATGTATGTTAATGTCGTTCTGTGTGTCTGTGTATTTACATGTGTTTGTATGTTTGTGTGTGTGCGTGACTGTGTGTGTGTTTGGGACTTGTGTATGTATGCTTCAGTATGCACATGCATGTGTTTGTGTGTTTGAATAGGGTTAACGGTGACTGACCTTTCATGACTCTGACCATGGTATAGGCCAGGTAGGAGGTGTAGTTCTCATCACTGATGTGAGCATCGATGAAGTCTCCCAGCCACTGGACAAAGGAGGGGCAGGCAGCCAGGCTCTGGTGAGAGGGAGACCCATGTTACATCCAGGCAACAGTTCTTAATTCACATTGGAAATGCCAAAATGTATTGAAATGCATTTAACTTTATCCCCCTGAGTTACATGTATCACAAGCTGAGAGATATTTTGAAAGGTATCAAAATATCTTTGCTTACCTGCAGTACCACATTCATAAAACAGGTGTTCCCCAGGTTCAGTAGTCCAGGAGGCAGATCTGCTCAAATGGCAAGAAAGAAAATAACATATTATAAAACTTCTGCTCAATGGGTGCCTATCTTGTAAGCATCTACAATGTATGTTACAGAACAGAACAAAAGAACAGAACAACAGAACAATTCAAATCAACTGTTTAGTTAGATATTGACATTAGTAGTAGATTTTGTTGCAAATATAGATCTAGAACACATAATAGCTGTATTTTGTGACACTGAGGCAGCTCTTTTATCACTTTTATCACCTTACCCCTCTTGCGTCTCCTGCCCTTATTTTCAGGTCCCCAGAGCACATACACCCCTGCAATCACGGCAGCCGCCGAACCTCCCAGCATGCACCACTGCTGTGGATCCATCTTTTCTTCTGCCTTATATGCTCAGATCATTCTTCTGTAACAAGGGTTATGTCAGCAATGTCAGTGTCAACAAGTTTATAATCCACCTTCTCCACAGCCTAAGTAATCCCATAACCAATACAAATGGGCACGAAAATGCTACCTTAAGAGGGTCAAGGAGAAGCTTGTAAGATGTGTCATTGACAAATATCTGGGGTAATATGACCTTCAGTTACAGCATACATCAATTTATAGACTGGTTGTCCTGTATGGACATTGGACACTGCAATTACAGAGGTCCCTTCTTGCACAAATCTGTATCCATGCATCAAGCTATGCAGATGATCATTCACTGTTATCCTCAATGTCACCTGATTTGCCTCCTATGCAGACTTCTAGCTAGCGGGTCATCATTTGTCTCTAACAAGCATGGGTAGGATACAGCTCTCCCCCGATCCAGGCCCTCCCCACAAAAGAAAATGCTGCTCTAGTCACTTCTAGAAACAAAGCAGGCCCTAAAACTAAAGATTGGGCCAGCAAGTATATAGATGGAGCCCATAACACGTGGATGGCACCCAGGCTAGTTACTCTCATCCCTCATGCTTAGTTAATAGCTCCAGGAGCTTTATAAGGGGCCAATTAAGCAGTCCAATGGGATTGGGGAAGCAGAACATAGAACCCAGGGGTCTATGACATGGGAATAGCTAATCCTCTGAACAGTACTTCTTTAGCAGACCAACTTCCCTGGCATGTTATCTATCTATCTGGCCAATTTCTACTCTTTCCAGCCGCGTCTAAAGCCTGGTAGAGCTAAGGAGGAATGCATGACGTCATCTAACAACAAAGCCACCAGAACTAACATGCTGACTTGGCAAAATTCTTAACATCTTCCCTCGCCATCAATAAAATTGAAACTGTATAACCATGTCCAGGTGCAACTAAAAGCTGAGGAGGTTACATCTACGGCTCCAGCCAGTTCTAGAGCCCGTCTGTGATGCTGTGTTCAGCCAGCTGCGGCGTTCCTCCGTCGTGAAGCCATGTTTGATCAGACAGACGTCATCTCTCCCAGCATCATCATTCCTTCATACCGCCAGGAAAACGTCTCTATACCGCTCACACAGGCGCCCGGAGGGGTTTAGCGATAAATATCAAAGCTGCACGACTCCTTTGCTTTTATCCGTGCTGTCTGCGCAATAAAGGTCGCCACGGAAGACTCTGTTCACCACCAGGAAAGGCGATAAACCGACTCACCTCTGGCTGCTCCTTCTGTAAACCACAACATCACCTCGCGCATTGCTTATTGTTGGGGAACGCTCCATTCACCAGACAGGGTGGTCCAGGATATAAACTATCTAATATTCGAGTGTATAAAAGAATAGATAGGTGTTCAACCATGACAAGTTCTTTGTATTGATATAATAACATAGTATTATTAGCAAATATATTCCATTTGTCAAGTATAATAAACTTTAGAAATGTTAAAGCACGCCTACCAATTCTTTTCGATAGAATCGCCAAATAACCTATGACCTTCCATTGCCCCAGAATGGATGAAAGTGCCCAGACAAACATGGTCATTAAGGTGAGCAAAATACGATTTGTTATGACTATTTAAACAGATTTCACTGCCGATCTGGTAATACATTGTCGTGGAACGTCGGCAAAAAATGCGATGGCTGTCGAGCTTGTTAAGGGTTAGTTGCTCTTTTAAATAGTATTCAATATTTGGGCCCGGGCCCCTGATAAGCTAACGTTAGTGACGTTACACTAGTACCGGCCGGTCGGTCGAGCAGAAATCCGATCCTGTCTTAAGTGTGTGAGTCATTGTCATGTATTGTTTTGGGTTAGGTTTTGACCGCAAGTAGCTACGCTAAGAATACAGGTCAACAGCCCCTGATTTTCACCCTGTAGGACTTTTGATTCTCTGTTACCCCGCCCCGTTATTTCCTTCTCGTCGAAACTTGCACCTCGAAAATTTCTGTACTTCCGTTTCTGTCAGTCGCATAACTGAGAGTTGGGACGGGCTGCATGGGTGGTTGCAGCTGATGCGTGATATCCGGTGACCGTGTTGTAAACCGTCAAGTTCCTGCTAAGTCTGTGATTTTTTCAACTCGAAACCTTATCTGTTCATCTGATCTAATATACAGAAACTACTTTAAATGCAATTTAACCTAGTCATTGGCCCATGGGATTTGGAAACGCCCCTCTTATTATGGGCTAATTATCGCTACTGTCGTCCATTAAAAATAATTTTACATTGAACAAATATCTACAGCAGTTCTCCTGATATCCAGATACAAACAACTGATAAGAAACATAAGACTAACATATCTAGCTACTTATTTATGTAACCTCATCAACAAATTAGTGCATGGTCCCTTCAATATATTTTGGACAGACAGTTTTACAGGAGCCAATCAACACGATTTCAGATGTGGGGACAGTAGATGACGGGAGATTAGTTTAACACATAACAGGGCCGACTAGACAGAAACCAACCAATCATAATCAAATTACAACGTCAGAGTCATTGGCGCTCCAGTCAATACATGTCTGCCTTGTCCCCAAAAATCAGAGGTGAACAGGTGATGACAGTGCATTGATGTGTGCCAGTGCTGTAGCCATGTTCACTTGTCTGGTGTAGGTAATTTTCAAGCTTACCTGCACCAGAGTGAAGGTATGCAGAAAAGAGTATTTCAAGCCCTGATTGCCATTTATTGGTACATATACTTTTCTCTCTACAGTCATCATCTATTGTGGAGGATTATGAAGTCCGTTGGCGCAAAAGTCTGGGCACAGGAGTCAGTGGGCCTGTTAGGTGAGCAGAACGAGATTCCACTTCCAACTGTTTAAAGGACAAATACACTAATTTCAGTTTTGGTGTTTCCTGTTTGCTAAAGGTGATCCATTGGTTTCTACCTGTCCCGCACACATAGGGGTAATGTTTGACCCAAATCCATGTTTACATTTGATGCCTGCCTATTCCACCAAGAGGATGCGGTGGCGTAGGCTGTCCACTTAATCTAATTAACTGGCTATGAAATCACTACTGTGTTAACATTAGTACATAAAATAACATCTCCACAAAAAGAACAGTATAAAGAGAAACGAGGACGAACAAATAGTCACCAGAGAGAGAATTCGGTAGGCTGTTGTCTGCATGTCAATCCATCTACCTGTACAGTCATGACATTTGTCATATTTTATCCAAAAGACATAACGTTACATGTACTGTAGACTAACTTAGATTAAGCCTAGGTCACCACTGTCTCCTGGTGGAATAGGCAGGCATCAAATATGAACATGGATTTGGGTCAAATACATGTATCACCCAAATGTGTACAGGACAGTCCGACTGGTTTTAAACAATGAATCACCATTTGCAAACAGGATTTTGGGTCTGAAGGCACCAAAATTGAGATTACGTTACTTGTCCTTTAACATCATACTTTTATGCAATTATCAAAAATCTATACAGTGAGTTTCACCAAGGAAATTTCAAAAGCTCTGAACATGTTTAACACAGGGCTTCAATGAAGGTATTGTTGTAAGGTTGACTTCCTTGTAACAACAATGCAGTTCTATATCCTGGTCATGTATGATTCGTTTCAACAACAGGCAGGATTCAAAGTCTCCCAACCTCGTGGGCCAGACACAGGGTTGCTAAGCACTGGACTACACACATACCTGTATGTAATCATTGGCATTGATGTATGACACATACATGTATACTAGTATGCTGTTCACTACTTCTAACTGTCCCACAGATTGTGTATAAAGAGAAACACAGGGGAGAAATATGCCCTGAAATGTCTTCTGGACAGCAAAAAAGCCAGGACTGAGGTAGGTGGACTGTGTTTGTACTTAGGGGACATATATGTAGTTGTGCATGCTGAACAAAATTTTTCTCTGAACAAAAGTTAACACTTGAATGTGCAACTCACAAGGCAGTGTATGATTAGCAACAGCTAGGACATAACTTATGACAATAAAGCTCTTTCAACTTGCTACAACATACAATTTGGCTGGTTTTTACCTTTTTAGCTGTTTTGGACATGTACAATGTTTTTGGATTCAACTTCTGAAACAAAGCTCAATGAAATGTTAGTTGTTAAGTAAACAAATTAGCTGTGGACTGGGGTGTGACTGAAGTTTTTTGTCTGTTTCAGGTGACGTTACACCAGCGCTGCTGCCCTCACCCCAACATCGTCCAGATCTACGATGTGTACTGTAACAGTGTGCAGTTCCCGCGGGAGGCCGTCGCTAGGAGTCGCCTGCTGGTTGTCATGGAGCTGATGAACGGGGGCGAGCTGTTTGATCAGATCATCAGAGAGAGGCACTTCACCGAGAAAAAGGCAGCAGCCATCACAAAACAGGTAATCTCACCTTGTGTCTTTTTTCTACCATCAATCTTGTCATCAGCTTATGATATTTACCTGAAGTTTGCAGAAATAAACATAAATTTTGTAAGCTAGTCTAATTATTTTTTTATACAGTGCATAAAAATGAACCTTTATGTCCTTTCAGATTGTCTCAGCTGTGTTCCATTGTCATTCCCTGAACATTGCCCACAGAGATCTCAAACCTGAAAACTTGCTACTCAAGGAAAAATCTGAGGTAGTTTACAATCTACATGGACATGTACAACTACATGTATGTATGTATGTATGTATGTATGTATGTACGTATAGGCCTTGAAGAGAGGGGCCGAGAGATAGAATAGTTCCTAAACAGTTACTTTTACAAACTGGAGATTACAAATACATAGATTGTACTGCACAGACAGCAAAAGTACCCCCCCCCCAAAAAAAATGGGTAAACCATGCTGTCTTTATGCATGTAATTTCTGATATTGGATCCTTTCTTGGTGATAACACTCTCCTCAAAGTAATGAGATATATGTCAGGCAAAACATTGGAAAGTTTAAGACTTTCCAATGTGGTTATTTTTGCAGAATTTTTTGTCATGTCCCCACTGTACATTGTATTTTAGGATCTTCAAAATGTCACCATCAAGCTGGCAGACTTTGGGTTTGCTAAGGAGGATGTAGGACTGGTGACCCCACAGTTCACACCATACTATGTTGCACCTCAGGTAAGAAACTTTGCTGCAGGTCAAACTAAATTTTCATTTTCTTGAAATGAAGTGTGACATACCTGTCATTGTTTAACCAATGAATTTATTCATTCATTCATTGACTCATTGATTGATTGTTTGTGTTCCCAGGTTTTAGAAGCCCAGAAACAGCAGAGACTGGAGCGGTCAGGACTGAAGACACCACCGGGAACACCCTACACTTATGACAAGGTCAGGGTACTACTGTACTGTACATGTCCCAACTACATGTAGTAATAAGACATGCTGCTTGTGATTTGTATCTTCAAGGTAGAGAGAGGTAAGTGATTTTAACGGAAGTATAACATTTGGCCTACACAATATGCCAATCATTTGTTCACTCACTTACTCAATATTTCTGAATAATCACATTATTTATCAAAGATACTTATAACAGTTTTGAGACTTAGCAAACAAATCTTAATGTTGTTTCCAGAGTTGTGACATGTGGTCGGTTGGTGTGATCATCTATATCATGCTGTGTGGCTATCCCCCATTCTTCCCCGAGACCCCCAGCAAACAGATGACCCCTAACATGAAGAGGAAGATCATGGCGGGCGAGTATCGCTTTCCCAAGAACGAATGGAGCGTGGTGTCAGACATGGCCAAGGATGTCATACAGAGGTGCTAAGATTGTAATGTCCACTAATATAACATAACTCTGCCAGGTACTCTAGATCTAAGACCAACACATTACAGAAATGATGTTCAAGTACTCTCCAAGCAGAGGTTTAGGCTTTACCTTGTATACTTAATTTTCCTTCAGTCTGGCAATTCTTTGTCTGACAGCAGTCAGCAGTTTGGATTCAGTATCCTCAAAAATAAATCTAATAATTATATCTCCAAAACACCTGGCAGGACAGTTACATGCAATTTTTCATAACTCTAACAAGCAGACTTAGATCTACACCCCATGCAACTGTTGGAAGGAACACGAAAACCAGCCATGAGTCTGATTGTTGTGTATACAGCTTATATTTTTATGACAAGTTGCAATCAGTTGGCTACAGGGATGTAAGGTACAATCAATTTTTATTTTAACCATCTTGATGCAATACATTAATTGTAGAAATGTACAAAAAAGTATCTTGCAATCCCCTCCAGGTTATTAGAAGTGGACCCAGTGAAAAGGATGACAGTACAGCAGTTAATTCACCATACCTGGCTCCTGGGTGAGGAGGCCCCTGAACTAGCATTACTGTCCCCTGCCATCATGCAGGACAAGGTGAGTTTGGTCAACAATCTTAGCAATGCAAGGCTCGAATACCACCTGCATATGCAGGTTAGTGCAGGAAAAACTCAAACTTTGCAGGTGTTTCTGATGTCTACCTGCACCAAACCTGAACTTAAAAGCTTGTCCATGCACTGACCATGGGTTTGTAGTTGTATGTGAATTTTTATTGGCTGCATTGACTGTCATCACCTACATGTACATGTATGTCTTGTATCCCACATTTCCTTTGCTCTGTGTCCCAGGATGCCTTGCATGAGGTGATGCATGCCCACGCCCAGCAGCTGACGGTGATGAGGACACCAGACACGACCTTTCAACTCAAACCTTTGACCTCCGCAGAAAACCCCATCCTGAAGAAGAGACTGAAGGCCCGCTAGCCCAGGTCTTCTCTTTGGGAGCGGGTGGAGGGCTGGGGTGGAATCTCTGTACACTGTACACACCTACTATGTAGTTAACTCTCGTCACATGCATTGTAGGTCAGTGTCGGGGCTGGAAGTCAAATTTAACTCAAACTTGATTTGATTCATATAGAAAGGTAGGTGTGGCCTAAATCTGGACAGACTGCTCCCAAAATTCAGCCAACCTTGCTTGCTTGGTGACAGTGTGACAGGGGCTCAAGCAAGACCTGTTGGTGTGAAAAAGACTGTATGTGCTCAAATGCTGGCACTAATCTCTAGTGCTGTGCTATGCTGCCACAATGCCTTTACAAAACCTGACTTTAAATCTACATATACCAATTAATTCACTGTTCATGTATTTTCACTTTTGTAATGAAGCAAAGGCAAGTATTAACACTAGAACTAGGGCACAAAAAAGAATTCTTAGATATACAATGTAGCTACACGTAATTGTTGGGAACTTGTAAATTTTTGGAACAGTACATAATTATACATATATATCTTACTACTTGAGGCAAGCTCTTATGAGAAAGTTTACACCATGAAAGTTATGCAATGTTACTATTGGAGAAACACGTGTTAAACTATTCAAGTGCAACAATGGCCATGGCGTGGCCAGACTGGCAGAAGAAATTTTGTTGCTTATTCAAGATTAACTAGTTGATAGGAAGATAATCCCAAAGCCAAGCTTGTGTTGATCTAATGCTTCCTCACCTGCACACAATACATGCTCTTAAGGTAAAAAAGGTTAAAACTGAAGTCAAGCATGATGCTTTTTCAATGCGGTGGTGATATGGCTCGCATCTTCACCCAAGATGTTGTGTGTTGGACTCGTTTACTCTTTTGTGTTTGATTGATTAGCAAACCTTAACTATGCTGACTGTAAAACACACTGCAGGGTAAGATCCATGATGTACACTGAGGATTGTTGCAGTTTCTGTGCTTATGAAGCCGTGGTGTGCTGCTATATGTTGTCTTTGCCCACAGGTGTTCTCTACCAAACCAAGATATAGTTTCTGACAGTACATTTTTCTGACTGCTGGTATTCCAAACTGTTGCAAAGGTCAACCACATCAAAGAAATTATTTGGCTGATAATGAAATCATTTTGTTTTTAATGCACTGGGTGATAGGACTAACATACTGTCAAAATAAAATACCCTGGCAACCCTGCTTTGTGGCTCAGATAGCATAATGTTCTTATATATAGAGAGTGTATGCTGCCAAGATTATATAGACAATGATAAGAAGAAATAGCAGTACATTCAGCACGAGATTCTATATGTACAACCATGTGTATTCCAACTAATAAAGCAATATGGTATTACTAATGATGGACTATAAGTGATTGATGAAGATATACTGTCAATTTTGTTTTTACTTCTAGATCCCATATGTTTCAAGAGTTGTTTTACCAATTATGATGTACATGGTGGTTTTTGTTGCTTCATGTCTGTATAAAATCATAATGAGATTTTATGAACAAAATTTGTGTATTAACATGAAGAAGTTTTGTTACTTAACTCCAGGAGAGATAGAGTCATATACAGGGATTTTTTACAGGATGTTATTTTACTGTCACATGTAACAGGCTTAAGGGAAGAGCTGCTCAATTTACAATATTGGAGCAATTGAGTCACTGGGACTTATGAAAATGTTTTCATTTATTACGTCAGAATACACCAGAATTATACATCACATACCCATGTTGTTTACTTATTTCTTGTCTCTTTTCACCATTTTATTTTTAGTGTCCTCTAGGTCATAGCCAAAATTGGCATACCTTTAACCACTAGCTTGAAGGCCTCAGTCAATGTGTCTCATTTAGATGTGTTCACACTTTAGTGCTCTAACAGCTACTGACATGGTATTTAGAACAAGAAGGTTGTTTAGAACGAGAAGACTTCATATATCTTATTGTAGTTGCACTTTGACGCCTTACTTAAGGAATAAGAACACAGATACTTGAATATTATCTATTGATTATATTTAATTTTCATAAAAAAAACTTAGATAAGCATTTAAAATCATGAATAGGAGACATTTCATACATATTTAAAAGCACCCTCCATTCAAAAAGTATAGCCTATAGGAGCAATCAACTCTCCCACAATTATAGTAAGATACTAGCCTCCTTTGCAGGCTCCGGCGCGGGTGGGGATTTTGATACAGCGTTTTGAAGAGGTTTTAAGGTTCCATTCCACGGGTGGAATGGAACCTTCTCTCGCGGCTGGTTGTAGGATGGCCGGCTATTAAAAGAACGCGTTAAAAACTCTTCAAAACGCTGTATCAAAATTCCCACTGGCCCCGGAGCCTGCACAGGAGGCTAGTAAGATACAAGGTTGGTTTGTGGTCATCAGGGGACGCTTTTGAATGTGTGATCTCAATCTCGTACAGAACTCTCTGTACTGGCGATATCTACCGTGAGACGACAGTCGTTTTTAGCCGTGCCCGTTAGAATACATCCTAGTTTGCAGTCACAGTTAGAACTTGCACTTAAATCCATTGGGGGTATACATGTGCATTAAAATGTTTTTCATCATATCACTTTGTTCCGTGATCACTACTGTGCTCTCTGTCTCTCGATCTGATCTATCTCGTTAACGAGGAACCGACACTCGCAGTCCCAGAGCGCGCGCTTGAAGGCGTCTATGGTCCGCTGGCCTTTGGTAGGGAGGGTGTCTAGCAGGTTCCGTATCCTGTCCTGAAAACAAGGACAGTCGTGCATGTAAGTACTGCAAAGACTGCACTCATATGTTCCTATTTAATGTCTCAGTAGGGAAGAAGAGGTCACCCATAAGTAAGTATCATAACGTAATATTGCTAGCCTAAGGTCACGGTTTCCAAACCGGGACCCGGCCTGGCTGTTTGCGTGAACGAAAAATTAACAATGGTGCTCATGAGTAATTTTTTTCAACTTTTTTTGGGGGGTTTTGTTCTCTAAAATATCATACTTTTCGTTCCCGCAACCAAGGAATTTATGCCGCAACCTACTCGGTCGGGTCTCGGTTTGGAAATGTGACCTACATTGTGATTAAATCATGACCCGAAGGGGTCAGACATTGCACATGGATCGTTAACCGGCTGACTGGGGACTCACATTAGTTGTGACGCCAACTTGACCATCACAGAGGATTCTCTCCCGTTCTTCATCCAACATTCGGTCAGCCAGCCGATCTAGCACCTGTCTCACGGTCACGTCGTTCATGTTGTCTATGAACCTCACCCGATGTCTCCGCAGGCAGTCCCTACTCCACACCACACTGCCGTCCATTTCAGCACTCTCCGCCATGACTCCTGTTCATCAACTGCTTTTCGGAGCCCTGCCTTGACACATTCTTCTGCAAATACCTTTCTAGACCCTAAAGGACGGTAAACCTCGACCCTTTCGTCACCCTGTCTTACCGTCGGCCCGGCACACCGGGCAAACGCGGAAGTGAGTTCTGAAGTGGTTTCACTTTTTGGCAAAGCATCATGGGAAATAATAGGGCGTAGACTCGTGTAGGGGCAAATGCCTAACGTACACCCAAACTTCGGGAGGCCGCAAATACCCAGCCTTCGGGAGGCAACTGAAAATAGTAGAACTTGGCCAAAAGAAATTACAGTACCCTTTTACCATAACAGCGACTAGATGGATAAGCGTCTGCTAACACCCTGGGCCGAATGCATCGTGGACAAAAAAATAAATAAAGAAATAAAAGGCAAGGTTCAGTAAAACGAAGACCCGTATATGATAAAACAAAACTGAGAACTTATACACGTTAACAGATACTCGGAAGCCAATATATGTACAACAAGCCACCCAATTTTATTGCACCGTAACCGTGACATGGCAAACTATCTGAGAATATTACAGAAAATGACGATCGATTCGCAACTAGCCAACTTACGTATACATGGGTCAGTGCGTATATATGAGCTACAATACATGTAAATCATAGCCAGAGCTACACACTCAGATATTTGAATGGCAGTACATGCACTATTACACACTAATATTAATTCCACTAGAACTGCGTGGTAAACTAAGTGAAAAATATCTACAACAGTACATAAGATAACAATTCATAACAAGCCAAGTTATGCGGGTCAACCTATGTGGCCTGCATTGGCAACATTACAATATTTAAGAGCTACAGAATAAGATACATACTGTTATAAAAATACGTTGATAGCTAAGATATTTAAAAATATATTTACTTTTGGTCCTAGGAACTGCTGTTTTACTAGCGTTTGGAACATGTATTGACCGGTACATCAGCATGTTCCAGTATAGGCCAACTACAAAAACATGTGAGTAATCCTACATATATCTGTACATCAGTCAGAGTTTTTAGTCCACAAACTTTTAACAAAAACGTAACTCCCTGTCACGTAGACATTTGGTATGACCTATGTAAAGGTTGGCAGACCCTCATAAAAAGAACTTTGACCGATCACATAAGGACTGCGACGCAGAGAGAAGAGCAGCACGACGGTCTGAGAACAGAACATATATATCCTTCCTCTCGGCGTTTCGTTTTAAACGTTTCCATGTACCACTTTTTGGAGCCGCGCGTCGGAACGATGCTGTTGAAGACGGCGGTCCTGCTGGTCCTGGTGTCCACCGCCCTGACGGGGGCGTGGTCGGTCAGCCCCGGGAAGGACGGGGTGCTCTTCGCCTTCCAACCCAACCTGCACGAGTTCCACAAGACACCCATGAAGTTTGCGTCGAGCAGTGCCATTCCCAAATGGCTCAGCGGAACGCTGGTAGGTGGTAGAAAAGTTGGCTTTGGCTTTGGCTTTACGCTTAACGTTCGTTCATTGTTTGTCGGATATATTACAATATGTATTAAAACCAAGTAGATCTCATGTGTCTTAAATATTCCCTAAACATTTCCAAAAATTCAACAAGTTGACATGCATGGAAAAATCGCACCAGTTGTACCACAAAAAGTGTTCCATGTGCAACATTTAGGAATAGAAAAAGACTCTTGGTTTTGTCGCACTTTGCTCTGACACGAATGATCAACAGGACAGTTGCGTAACCGTAGCTGACCAAACCAGTTGTGGGAATACATCGGCAACGCTGTATACGTAAGTCGCTTTTAAAAGTAGTAATGCCAACGGTCACTGACCGGACCTTTCGGACCTCCAGCTCGGTGACCTGATTCGCAGCTGACCACGCTTACGCCGCATGTTCCGGTGACTCCGCGTGCCTGCGGACATTGCCCTAGGTCAGTAAGTCAGTCCCGCGTTACGAAAGACCAAAGGTACAACTTCAACAAGGCTTCATCGGGTCAGTTTTCACCGTTCAAAACCCATTTTCACCCTTCAAAACCCAATTTTCACCCTTCAAAACTCAATTTTTCACCCTTCAAAACTTACTTTTCACCGTTCAAAACCCAATTTTCACCCTTCAAAACTTAATTTTTCATCGTTCAAAATTTAATTTTTCACCCTTCAAAACTCAATTTTTCACCCTTCAAAACCCAATTTTCATCGTTCAAAACTTTTTTTTCACCCTTCAAAACTCAAATTTTCACCCTTCAAAACTCAAATTTTCACCCTTCAAAACCCAAATTTCATCGTTCAAAACTTTTTTTCACCCTTCAAAACTCAAATTTTCACCCTTCAAAACACAAATTTTCATCGTTCAAAACTTTTTTTCACCCTTCAAAACTCAAATTTTCATCGTTCAAAACTTTTTTTCACCCTTCAAAACTCAAATTTTCATCGTTCATCGACTCGTCCCCAGGATACTATGGTTGGCTCTTCCCAGTATGCTTTGCGCGGAGCGTGGTCTCTTTCCCAGAGCAGTCAAATACAAACACGAATACGCTGTTATTCGCTGCAGTCCCGCCGTGCCCAGAACGTAATTTTATATTATACCGTACGCTGTGGAAGGAAAACATTTCCAACACGGTTCCAACCGCACCAAGGCACGATTTTCAACCGGCTGTTTTTGTAAGTTAGAATGGGGAGGGAGGCCGGGGGCGTTTCTAAGTACTTAGACTACGTTTCTAAGTACTTAGACTAAGTAAGAGTAGTTTTTTCGTGTTTATAAATTATGCTGTGGACAGAGTCCGACGGACTGTTGTTGGTTTGTTGTAACCCCAAAGCTTACTGCTCCATTGGTTTTGGAACTACTTGTATTTGTTTTGAGTGGCGGACAGACGTATATTTTCCGACATAAATTCCCAACTATTTTCCACTGACACAGTTTCTCCAAATTGTTACATAACTGTTTGGCCCTGGGGAACTTTCGGTGGAGAGGCAGCCCCATTCACAGTTTGACCACAACAATTCAGACGAAAAAACCTAACCGTTACTAAACTTAGAGTAAAAGTAGAAACACTCCCCTCCACATTCTAATTATGCGCAAGGCAAAACATGTCATATCATATTCATAACAATGCAACAGACAGCATATAGGATGATACATTTGGGGAAGGTAGGATACCGGTAGTTCACAACAATTTGAGAAGTGAGAAAGAGCAGGGTGGAAGTGAATAAGAAAAGCCAAGGAAAGGTGAGACAATCTGTGCACATTAATGAATGAATTACAATGAGCTCTATGCATAAGCAACAAAATGTGGGCTACGAAAAGTGTAAAAAGTTTGGGTCAGCAGAAGCTGCAACTTTAGAATGCAATGGGTAAGATTAGCTAGTGATCGCGCCAAACAGTTATGTAACAATTTGGAGAAACTGTGTCAGTGGAAAATAGTTGGGAATTTATGTCGGAAAATATACGTCTGTCCGCCACTCAAAACAAATACAAGTAGTTCCAAAACCAATGGAGCAGTAAGCTTTGGGGTTACAACAAACCAACAACAGTCCGTCGGACTCTGTCCACAACATAATTTATAAACACGAAAAAACTACTCTTACTTAGTCTAAGTACTTAGAAACGTAGTCTAAGTACTTAGAAACGCCCCCGGCCTCCCTCCCCATTCTAACTTACAAAAACAGCCGGTTGAAAATCGTGCCTTGGTGCGGTTGGAACCGTGTTGGAAATGTTTTCCTTCCACAGCGTACGGTATAATATAAAATTACGTTCTGGGCACGGTGGGACTGCAGCGAATAACAGCGTATTCGTGTTTGTATTTGACTGCTCTGGGAAAGAGACCACGCTCCGCGCAAAGCATACTGGGAAGAGCCAACCATAGTATCCTGGGGACGAGTTTTGAACGGTGAAAATTTGAGTTTTGAAGGGTGAAAAATTAAGTTTTGAACGATGAAAATTTGAGTTTTGAAGGGTGAAAATTGGGTTTTGAAGGGTGAAAATTTGAGTTTTGAAGGGTGAAAATTGGGTTTTGAAGGGTGAAAATGGGTTTTGAACGGTGAAAACTGACCCGATGAAGCCTTGTTGAAGTTGTACCTTTGGTCTTTCGTACCGCGTAACACGCGGGCTTCGGCATGGCCCTAAGTCAATACAACACGTGACACAAAAGTGAGGGAGGCCGTTGTTGTTCACATAAATCGGTATTGCTGATGACTTTGGGGGTATTATCGTGGTCATCATCTTGATCGCCGCATTCTCATACTACTTATTATGTCTCGCATTCTCCAAGTACCTTGTTCCTAGACGATATGTGGTAGGCATTTCGTCGGTCTTACAAGATCATGAAAGTACTTCTTCTACACCATGTACTTATTCTTGGTTTTGCGCTAAGAGCTATGAAAGACGATAATTTATGCAAAATTGATGTAAGTTACAGATCCACGTCCATTGTCTAGCTTACATGTATATACATGTACGTACGTAGGTCACCAAACCGGGGCCCGGTCGGGCTGTTTGTATGAACGAAAAGTTAACAATTCATGTCAAGAATGTACAAAAATAGTGCCCATGATTATCATTAAATACTTTTCTGTGTTTTGTTGTCTTTTATACCGTACTTTTTGTTCCCAAAAGCTGCCCGGCCGGGCCCCGTGTGGGAATTGTGACCTCAGCATAACGATCAATATATTGGGCAGCGGTAACAGATCAGTTCACAACCTGCGGAGTTTACCAGCCCCAACCGACTTAACCTAAATGCTACGAAGATGTCAACCTGCAGCTGGTAACAATCACAACATATATATATACATACGCGATAATATGAAGTAAAAACAAAACAAGTAAACATAAATAAATACCACCCTTCCAGGTTAGGAACGCGCCTGCGCGGTACCAGGTTGGAGACCGAAGCGTTGTTGATGTCTTTGACGGGTTCGCCAAGCTCCACAGTATCGACATTACCCAGCATTCCCTCAACTTCTCCGCCAGTTTCATCAAGTCAGGCATCTACAACAGGTCTGTCTATGTATCTGTCTACCTATCCACCCATTCATCCATCCATCCATCTATCTGGTATCCATCTAGCTATATCTACTACATTGTGCTTATCTAGCAGTCCGTCCACTGGCCCAGGTCCAATCAGGTACTGACAGTAAAAGATTGTGTAATACAGGCTGCGTGCTTTGGCCCAAGCTATAGCAACATTGTGATGTGCGTGTAGACTTTGGCCTCCTTTGATCAATATATTGAACATGGTCAAATCCTCGTGGACTACATGTATTATTAGTGAAGAAAATTGCATTTTTCAATCCCACTATCTCCTGCATGATGTGTTCATCGAACCAGGCAGCGTTTGATAACAGGTAGCTCTAGCTACATGTACAAATATTATTATACAAACAAGCGGCTCTTTAGCCTTAGTTTAGGTTTTGTTAGCAGACGATGCCTTTTCGTACTGCTGACCTTAAGGCGGGAAGCCATGTTGAAAGAATGGTTAATCAGTCTGTGATAGTTTTGTGTAACTGGCTGTGGCGTCCATTAGACCTATAGTACAAGTACTCAGTCACGTCGGATTTTATTACCTTCTGGTGTGTTACGCCGAAGGGTGGTTATACCGGCTATACAGATACAAGTTAGACTAAACCAGTTTTCTTGTTGTTTCCCCCAGGTCCATCGACTCCAACACGATAGCGCCGATGGTGACGTTCCTTGGTGTGGACCCTCCCTTCAGTCTGTACGAGCGACTGGAGGCCCTGGCCAAGCCGCTGGACAACAACGACATCAACGTCTGGAAGTTCGGCACCGGCGACTCCGCGACCTACGCCGCCCTGACCGACGGCTGGGTCTTCCCGGAGTTCAACATCGACACGCTGGACACCATCGGCGTGGTGCAGCCCGACCCCCTGGCAGGGCAGGCCGGTCTGTTCGGTGTCGGTCCGCCGACCGTCTACCTGTCCTGCGCTCACCCTATACTCCAGCCGGGAACGGGACACTCCATAACTTACGTCATTAAACCGTCGTACCTCCCCGGCCAGTCCTCGGTTCTGAGCGTCATTCGCATCAAGGACCTCGGCCATATCGAAAAGATAGGCAGCTTCGAGATCGAGAAGAACTCGTACATGCACACCTTCGCTTTGACCGAGAATTACGCCATCTTCTTCCTCCAGCCGCTGTATTTCGACTTCATCAAGCTCATGACCACCGTAGAGATGCAGTACGCCATGGAGTGGGTGGCGGGAGACAAGATGAAGATCTATGCGGTGAATCTGAAGAACGGGTCCGTCAGCACCTTAAGCACCGATCCGCGCTTTTACACGCACCACGTCAACGCGTACGAGACTTCCGAGGGGCATGTCATCGCTGACGTCATCACGTTCCCGGACCCCACCCCCTTCCTAACGGCCCTGTCTCTGGACAAGCTGCGAGACCTCGATAACCTGAGGAAGATGGACTCGTACGCCAGGCTGACCCGATATTACCTCAACCTGACGGCAGAGACCGTGAAAGTGGAACCCTCCGCGGCCAAAACCCCGCTCGGCGACTTCATGAACAAGCTCGACCTTCCGATTATCAACGAAAAGTATCGCACCAAGAAGTACTGTATTTTCTACGGTACCGTCACCAGTTTCGCCGCCTCCTCCCCTTTAAACGGCTCGATCCCCATAGTCAAGAAGAACGTGTGTGTCCCCGGCAGCGACAAGTACTGGTCCCATCCGAACCACTTTGCCGGAGAGCCTAACTTCGTCCCCGACCCCAGCGGCACGCACGAAGACGACGGCGTCATCCTGTCCAGCGTTCTGGACGCGGACCGCGGGTTGAACTACCTGCTGATCCTGGACGCGCGCACCTTCACAGAGATCAACACGGCCTACATGCCCACGTGGATCCCGTTCGGCTTCCACGGCCAGTTCTTTCCCCGGTCTTTTCAATGAGGACGCTTAGAACCGCTGTCTAAATGATATTGCCAAATATCGCGAACTTAATCGAGAGATTTTATTTCGGCCCAGTTCTGACCAAGTGAAAAACAAACAAACAAACAACCAATTTAGCCGCGTCATTTATTGATTATACATTGTAATTACATCTTCAACATCAACATCTACAAAATTTATGTATGGAACAAATATAGTTTATTTTGTAGTGCCTTGGTCACTTATATTTAGCAAACAGAATTCGAATGGCAATTATTTTCTAACGCCTACCAGTGCAATGAAGATATATGCATATACTTGATATTCTTTATTATGGGTTCACCACACCACGAAGTGGTGTGGTGAAACCATATTGCTTTTTCTGATGTTTCTTCTCCTTCTCCTCCTCCTTCTCCTCCTCCTGCCATATCTTTAAATGGATTCAGCTTCTTCATTTTAGGGCCTAAGGTCCTGAAATTTGGTATGGAGGTACAGTGGGCAAATACCCCTAGGCGTTTTTTAAATTATTGTGATGCAGGCTTTTAGAATGGTTTTATTTGAGTTTTTGGCTGTGTAATAGCAAATGTATTACTGTGTTAGTGTGCCTTGTTTACCATGTTTGGGCATGAGTCATCACAATGGAATGCAGGGCATCAACCAATAGGCATGCAGCTTTCCTCTATACTTCTTGCTGATTGGCTGTTGGGATTTAACTTAACACCTGCACAGAGCATTTCCACCTGCACAGAGCATTTCTTGCTGATTGGCTGTTGGGATTTAACTTGATTAACACCTGCACAGAGCATTTCCATACTGACAGTATGTCTTTATTCAAGTGTTTTGGTAGGTATTTCAAGCTTTTCTGCTCCGGCATTGGAATGCGGGGCATGAACGTTTTTATTTATTTTGAAAATCAACAGTTTGCATTATGCAATTAAAAATCCTAACCAATAAAGTAGGGAATAGCTATCCAACTGTTGTTTTAGTTGTATGTTACTTCATATTATAGTTATATCAATGTAAACAGGGTTCTAACTAGCGCTAAGTAGCGTCGGGGCCCGCGACGCTAAAATTTTGACCCGCTACGCCAATTTTCCCCCGCTACGCTAATTTTCAGTACAACGTAGCGGCATTGTGACTGCATTTCTTTGTTCAAAAATGCCAGATCAAATGTGAAAAATGTTTTTTTTAGCAAAGTAACGCACGTGGCGGCCCTCCCAGGAGAATGGGGCGTGCCTAGGCGGGGCCTTGGCTTCTTTACAACTTGTGTTGCCGCCCTTCTGTGAGTGACAGCGGCAG